TATATACCCTACATAAACCATCTTCGGAGTGGACGGAGTACACTCCAACCGAGATGCTTACTAAATCAACACCATTTATGGGAAACTAGTAACACCATCTATAAGATAAAGCCAGAATCGTTCTCGTGAAATTGAAAATGATTTTTTACATCTTTTTCGCTCGCGACACGGATATTCCACTTCGAGTATGTATGCTGAAATCACTTGGCCGGGTGCAAATCGGACGACCCCCGATGTAACCTCCACTCAAATTCGCCATATTGACGATCGTTATCTTTACGCAGTTCTGGAATACACTCCCCCACCAATCAATGCTCGCTAACCATTTGAACTTTTTGTGTTTAACGTGGGGCGATTATTCAGCATTTTTCATTTGATCGGAAATGAACGGAAAAATAGTTCGTGTTAGGAGACTATCGGAATGAACCACCGATTACGTCTGGGGTACAGCAAATAAACAGAATTCTCCAACTCGATTTTCTGTTCAAATGCCTTACAAGACTTAAAATAGACGTCTTGTAGAAGCCTCTAGATATCATTCTTCAGCCGTATTACCATTTTATTGATGTCTATTTAACGTGACAAATAGCAAAACGGATAATTGGTATTTCTCAACAATCAAGAACTGGAGTATTTACCCGCCCCGCTCTTCTTTTTCTGTAGCGTTTCATTCCTCCGGGTTAGTAATATAAATACGCCATGTTCCCACAATATTATATGGAGTATTAATTTAGCAAACTTATATTAGTTGTAAGGTAATTTATTATATAGCAAATTTAAGATGGGATTCAATAAGATTAAGGTTGACCAACCAATTGTTGAAATGGATGGTGATGAAATGACCAGAATCATCTGGAAATTTATCAAAGATAAATTGATCTTCCCATACTTGGACGTTGATTTGAAATACTATGATTTAGGTATTGAGTACAGAGATCAAACTGACGACAAGGTTACCACCGATGCTGCTGAAGCAATTTTGAAATATCAAGTCGGAGTCAAATGTGCAACCATTACCCCAGACGAAGCCAGAGTCGAAGAATTCAAGTTGAAGAAGATGTGGTTATCACCAAACGGTACCTTGAGAAACATTTTGGGTGGTACTGTTTTTAGAGAACCAATTGTCATTGATAACATCCCAAGAATTGTTCCACAATGGGAAAACCCAATTATCATTGGTAGACATGCATTCGGTGATCAATACAAGGCCACTGATGTTGTTATTCCAAAGGCCGGTCAATTAGAATTAGTTTTCAAGCCAGCAGATGGTTCAGCAACTGAAGTTTACCCAGTGTATAACTATGACGCGCCAGGTGTTGCGTTAGCCATGTACAACACTGACAAGTCAATCACTGATTTCGCCGAATCGTCCTTCAAAATGGCCTTGGATAGAAAGTTAATATTGTTCTCCTCTACCAAGAACACCATCTTGAAGAAATACGATGGTAAATTCAAAGACATCTTTGAAGATTTATACGAAAAGAAATATAAGAAGCAATTCGAAGAAGCCGGTATCTGGTATGAACATAGATTAATTGACGATATGGTCGCCCAAATGTTGAAATCCAAGGGTGGTTATATCATTGCCATGAAGAACTACGATGGTGATGTGCAATCAGATATTGTTGCACAGGGTTTCGGTTCATTAGGTTTAATGACCTCTGTCTTGATGACCCCAGATGGAAAGGCTTTCGAAGCTGAAGCCGCCCACGGTACCGTTACCAGACACTATAGACAACATCAACAAGGTAAGGAAACCTCCACTAACTCTATCGCTTCTATCTTTGCATGGACCAGAGGTATAATTCAAAGAGGTAAGTTAGATAACAGTGCTGATGTCGTTAAATTTGGTGAAAACTTGGAAAAAGCTACTATCGATACCGTTGCTTTAGATAACATCATGACTAAGGATTTAGCTTTAGCTCAAGGTAAGACTGAAAGATCATCGTATGTCACTACCGAAGAATTCATCGATGCTGTTGCCAAGAGATTAAACAAGAACTTAGGAGCATAATTGTTTTATTTATTTTTGTATTATATAAGGTACGACCGAATACATGTTCCTTTATATATTACTTGGAAGTGTAGCCACGTAACTGTTCAATACTTGAAATTTGTAGTCTATTTCATGCTTTATGCTGAAATTAACCTGGTCGTGTCTGATTGTAAAAAAAATCATTAGCTCAAAGTGAAAAAAGGTATAAACTATAGAGACGATAACTTTCGTTATATAAGCAATCAAGCATATTTATTAATAATGAATGTAGGATCAATCTTAAATGATGAGCCTTCTCCATCGAAAAAGACAGATAATGATGATTCTGGCGATTCAGTAAGACCAGATATGTCGACTTATCAGAGACATTCACTAGTTAATTTACTAAATGACCCAGCCCCAAATAATGAACTTAAATCAAAGGAAACGAAAAAGACTGGGTCTGAAGATGAACATCCAAATTTCAAAGTGCCTGTTACTGAATCAAATCAGCAGTTGTCCCCAGTTTTGAGGCGTAGTTCAATTGCGGATATAACGAATGAGAATGATGTTGATATTTCAAGCAGTACGGAACACCCGATAAAGCAAGAGAAATCTGAAAAAGAAGAAGATGAATTGGCCAGAATAAGCAAACTAAAATCTACAAACAAACCAAGACGATATATAGAACCTCCAGTATGGGCTCAAGAATGGATACCTACATTGTACCAAGGAACTGCCAATGGGACGCCTATTGTTAATGTACAAGAATCGAGCTTGTCGTCTAAACCAGTGTTCGATAGAACCCTGACAGTAAATGTTGACTTGGAATGTTCAATAACAGGCGTGATTCCTCCTCCGTCAGTTACTAGGACTATAGCCGAATGGATTTATGCAAACTTTACCGAAATCCCTGATGATCAAAGAAAATATGTGGAATTGGAATTAAAGTTTGGAACAATAATTGATAAAAGAGCAGGCCATAGAATCGATATTAATGTATCCACTGAATGTATCTTCACTGACAATTCTAATACCTATTTTGATATGGGTGTTCATGAAGTTGGCTGGAATGATATGTGCAAATTTTTGGACGATTTGGAAAAATCTTACCAAGATGATTTAAGAAGATCATCCCAAGCAAATAGCAATGTTCCAAAGAGGAAATTTAATATGTTGGAAAGTGACATCACTGACAATTTTTATCAGATCACCAGTAGAAATGAACAACCGAAATCAATTCGTGTATCGAAGGACAACTTATTGGACCCACCTCGTTACACAGCTATAAATAAACAAAGACTTTCTAGTCTATTTATTCACAACCCTTCTTCAATGTATGATTTAAGATTATCATTATCATACGAAAATCCTATTGCTGACAATAATATCGATGGCATTATAAAAAAAAACCAGCCTACATTGACCAGAATTAAGAAGCGTAATTCTTGGACTCACAGACCTACTGTAACCAGGTTTGATATGACGAGAGTGTTACTGCCACGAGAGCTGAAAAACAAGAGTGGTAAAAAAATCGTGGAACAAGATCAGTCGTTTGAGGTTGAATTAGAAGTTGATACGTTAGAATTATTTAACGGATTTGATAAATTTAAAAGCGGGGCGGATTCGATTAGATTTGAAGAATTAGTGGAAATATTTGTAAATAATGCTAGATGTTTAAATAATAGAGTCACAAAGTTAGCTAACAAGTAAACTTCAACAACAGTTTGTCCTTCTAACATTTCATTAGCATTTAGTTTGTATCATATGTATTAAATAGAAAAAAATGTAATAATATCAATAGTCACGTGATCCATTGTTGATACTGAATTTTTGATACGGTTTCAACTTTGAAAAATGGAAGTTTGTATTATAGATCAATTGAACAACATACTTAAGGATGCTAGTGTATATGCTATTGTTTGTGGTAGTCATAATTATATGTACCTACGCGATTATAATTTTCTTTTCTCATCAACCACGAGAGCCTACATCGAGTGAATTAACTTATACGACAAACGACTCAACGGGTGAACATTACAAACTACCAGATAGGATCAACTCCCGTACAACTGAATACAGAGATGATGCAGTCCAATTGAGTGTAGTCATACCCTGCTTCAATGAAACACAGAGATTAGGTAAAATGCTTGACGAGTGTATTGAGCATTTGAATACAAATCATCCATCCCAATACGAAATTATTATAGTGGATGATGGCTCGCTGGATAAAAGTGATGAGTTTGCCCTTAAAAAAGCAGATGAGTTCCATTTAAAACCGCATGTCATGAGGGTAATTAAATTATCGAAGAACAGAGGTAAAGGTGGTGCAGTGACGCACGGATTATTGCACTCGAGAGGTAAGTACGGCCTATTTGCTGACGCTGACGGAGCTACTAAGTTCAGCGATGCTGACAAGCTAGTTGCATATTTGAGTTCAGTAGACAGCGACAGGCCAGCAATTGCAATAGGGTCTCGTGCGCATATGGTAGATACCGATGCGGTTGTCAAAAGATCATTTATTCGTAATTTCTTGATGTACGGATTACATACGTTGGTATACATCTTTGGAATTAGAAATATCCAGGACACTCAGTGTGGTTTTAAGATGTTCAATTTCCAATCGATAAGCCTGATATTTCCCCACATGCATACAGAAAGATGGATTTTCGATGTCGAAGTATTACTCTTAGGCGAATTGCAGAAGATGTCCATGAAGGAAATTCCTGTCAATTGGCAGGAAGTGGACGGCTCAAAAATTGACATCGCAAAGGATTCCATAGGCATGGCTATAGACCTAGTAGTCACTAGGTTGGCATATCTTTTAGGGATATATAAACTTGATGAATGTGGAAAATTAAGCTCAAATAATAAGAAGCTCGATTGATTAGCATAGATGCTTTATAGCCCGTATAGATTATATATATATATTGATGCGATTGGATTCTGACCAACAATTTTGTAGTATTAATACTTTATGATAAATCTAACAAATAAGCTGTTATCACAGACCGCCTACGAAAAGTCAATATACAATATCCGATATAGTGTAACGGCTAGCACGGTTCGCTTTCACCGAGCAAACCCGGGTTCGACTCCCGGTATCGGAATCTAATTTTTTATTTTCCTTTGCAGCCTTATTAGGCGCAAGCTGCGGAATGCCGTAAAAAAATATTATCTTCGTAACAAACACACTGTTCGCCTGCGGCACACTCATATACGAGTGCCGAATATGGTTTTTTTTTTTGTTGTACTTAGTAACAAATGCAACCTGTATTTACATGGTACTATTATTACAAACAAATATGGAATTCAAGTCAAGGGCTCCGATTTTGTTTCGATAGATAGTTCGATCTCAATAGCCATCTTTGGGCGGAGATGATGGGCCGAAGTTCGTAACTATTTACATGTCAGCGATTAATAAGTAGTAAACAAAAACAACTCTATAACATTTACTATTATTACTAGGTTCTATTATTACTAGGTTCTATTATTACTAGGTTCTATTATTACTAGGTTCTATTATTACTAGGTTCTAATATTACCAGACTTTACTAATTATGTTATTACTTAGTAAAAGCGGCTCATATGCGGAGCTTGTTGTGGGTCGAAAAAGTGGCGTGCAATAAGTTGACAAATTTAGTTGATTATGGATTTTCAATGCGGTGTGTATGATTGGGTCTGCGATATATTTAGCATTGAAAATGAAGTGAAACGCAAGAGAAGCACTTAACTATGTAAGTACGACCGACTCGGAGTATCGGCACCACGTGTGGCTGATAAATATAGATGGAACTTCTTTTGTTATTACTAGGGTGAGGCTACTTCATAGGGAATATAAATACACAGATACAGATATTTCACGTGATCTATTGTCTAAATCTGGCTAAAAATGCAATGTTGGTTGAACCTTTTAGTCCTTGATCACATATAAAATAGCATACTATCCTCAAGAATTGACTAACCGAAAGTCTAAAAGCATCAGTAGAATTTACCATGGCACCATCACCATCTTCAGATATTTTGTTGTTAAAGGAACACGAGTACTATAATACCGGGGACTTGCAATCAGTCCTTCCCTTTTTGCAAAGTAACGACAACTACGGTAGCTCATCGGGGAGCAATATAATACTAGGAATAATTGCATTTGTGATTGTGGGATTATTCATAAATAAACGGAAATCGAGGGTACTAAATGCAGTAGATACATGGTACGGCCAGATATAAGAAGGTTGGCGTTGATTATACTACGCTGAACAGATAACGAAAAATCGATTAAATACCCGTCATTTTCATCAATTCTATGTCCCAAATATTCCAGTCATACCAAAAGATAGGGGGGATGATTGTGAACAAATGCCAGATGGCATGAGCGTCAAGGAGTCTCAGCCATGGAGGAAAGTCCAATAATTCAAACGATATGCCTATAAGGAGCCATAAGTTCAACAAGACAGGTAGAATGGGGATGAATTTTGTTTCCGATAATGATAAGTAGTTGAGCTTCGATAAGAGCTTTGTTTCGAAGGGTAACAATTGCATCGAGTTATTGTACATGCGGGAATCCTTGCTATATATACTTCTAACCCGCATAGCATGTGCGATCCATAGAAACATGGCACTGATACCGAAGAAAAGGTTGAAGTACGTGTTGTATTGATAATCCCACTTATTATGCAACTTAATACAATGGAATACAAAAATAATTGCTAATGACGATTGAAGGACCCATCTTAGTTTTCTTTTAGTGGAAGTGAATAATCTGAAGAACCGGACACTTATAGCATTGAAGTTCAAAAGCATGATCATTGCTGCTCCAAAGTAGTCTAATGTTTCGGTGAGCGAAGTATCTCTCATGTGGAACAAGGTGCTAAAGGCCCACCCTACTAAAGACCCCACTATTAAGTATATATATTGCTTATACATAATAAATGCATCATTTCCACTCTTGTAATTTTTATTGTATTGAGTTAAAATCTTGGTGAGACTGTTGAAGTTGGTATAGTAGTTGCCAATTGAAAATATAGTCAGCATAATTTCCGTCATTCCCAAAATACGCGTGAACGGCCATTTCCCATAGAACTGAACCATAGGTAATCCTGCTAATTCACGTTGATTAGTCACGAACTGTTGACATTTATAGTCACAATCCAGCATACAATCCCACTGGAACACTGTTCTCGTTATCCATGACAATCTGTAGTTACTTTTAAAATCCTTTAGAAGATATTGAGGTAATTCTTCTCGTTCATTTATACTACTAACATCCCTCTTATTAGGTGGTTTCACCGGCTGTGCAACTGGCTCTATCTCTTCTTCCGCTTGCTGTTGTTGAGCTTCTATATGCTCAAGTATAGTAGCGTGGTTACAATCCATTAATTTCTCGCATTGCAAAAGACAATCTTGAAACCCCGGGTATCTATCCCCCTCTGACGCCGCTATAGGCACTGCTAGCAACAATAAATAATGGATTTTCATTGGGATATATTATCCTTGTTCTTTTCTATACCAAAGTTTTCAACATTATTAGTTTAATATCAAATCAAGTATATACAGTACTAGAAATTAGTGTACGGACCATATCTTATGCCTGCAACAATCAAGAATTAGGGGGGATATATTTGGTCTGCACAACTTCAGACAACCAATGACTTATATAGTGGTCTATAATATGATAAGTTGTTACAGATACGAGAAAAACAATTTAAACTACTATCGCGTTGTGGGAACTGAGTCCCCAAATACATAGGAGAACAAAAATTTTATTTTCTGACATAGGGCCTATAGGGGAATCCTAGTATATTGGCATAGTGTAACTCTATCACCTGTTTTTGCCAGAATGTGCTGAGCGTTTATTATTACCGCATAATTTCTTGAAATACAATACTCCAAATAATTGAACACGAGCAAATCTTTGGTGGAGTGTGAGCAACGGTTTTTCTCGCAGTGAGAAACCCTTTGGTGATATCGGACTACTATAGCAAATCGTTAATGGCCATGTTTGCGGCCATAGTTGCTACTATACTTCTATTGCTTTCAATCTTTCTATGCGTAGCCTGGTTCCTGGTTCCTTTTTCATATTTCCAAGTACCCAATCCAGTATTCGTATAATCTCCTCATTACACATACTCTACGTATCTACATTGTAAAGGACTAAATAGTCACGTTATTAAGTGTTCTTCGCTCGGAACCATTGTTTGGACCTAGTATACTAAATGCACCAAGTGTACCAAACATGACTTGTTCTCCTTCTCTCCCTATATTCTTAATAATTGACCGCAAGTTGCTACGAACGCTCGATTTGGAGATTAAGATTGACTCTTTGTATTATTCATCTTCCTGTATCAATATGCTTGTTTGCTAATTATATCATTCATCAATCTGTTTGTTCGTTGGAAGAGGGTTATTGCTATCTATTGTTTTACACGTGAGAACAGATAGAGATATTTTATATTTTTGGTCTCCGTATCTCTGATATATGTAATCTTACTATTTGAAAATAGCCTGCTAAAGTATACAGTGTATATATTTTTTCAGTTTAATAATACCATATCACGTATGCTGACACTTATGTTTACGCTCTTGTATTATTGGTGCATTTACTCTGCATTCCATAAAGAACGGTAATTCGAAGAAAACAGTTAAGCCGCATTAAGTGCCATTTTAAGAAAGCCGCACGGTCCGCATAAATTTTTTTAAAATTTTTTTTTTTTTTTTCAGAGGGGAGCTATACACTATATAAATATAGAAAATCTTTTATTTTGCCATTGAAATTTTTTTTAAATAGGTTATTAGTTAGGTGGCATAGATAAGTTGCATTTTAATTCTTGCTTTGTTAGGATAGACCATTGACTAGAAGATTTGGTATACACAGCTCCTAATATTTCAATCAACTAACTTAATTTGCACTTAATACCGAATATATATCGTTTGCTTATAAGAATTTTTAAGAATTTATATGACAATTCGTAAGTCACAACGTACCCGTACATTAACAGAAAAGGTTAAACCTATTAGGCAGACGACTAACAGTTTAGAACACCCAGCAAAAAAGAGGAAATTGAATGTTGAAGAAGATGCAGATAAGATTGACCCAGTAGAGAAGTTACTTAGCTTGACTAACTTGAACAATGATATCTTGAATGTGGATGAACCATCACCGGTGAACTACATGAATATTGCGAGCAATAATTCTACCGAGCAGATTTCGTTGAATTTCACTAAGATTTTGAACGATAACTTGAGGGCATACTATTCTAGATTGAACAAGAACCCCTTAGAAGTATACAATGACAACTCGACATTTGGTTTATTGAATAAACAGCCAACCGCTGAAGTTGATCAAGAAACTGCTCCAAAACACTTTGATGTTCCCTTTTTTAAGAAGGTTAACTTTAATTCTAACTCTAAGTCATATACCTTTGACGAGTACTTGTCATATGATGATTTGACAGACACCGACGAGTCGGATGAAGACAAATCTCCTATCACCCCTATTTCATTGCCTCCACCATTGAATGGCAAGATGAGTTTTCACTACAGACACAACGACAACTTGAATTTGTCGTTGAACCAGCATCCTGAAAGTGAGCCTCAAGATATTTGTAAGATATTAAATAAAAATTGTTTAATATCTGGTAAAGCTAGTGAAATGGTTGGCACTGGTAATTTTATGATAAATGATTTTTTTCTATAAATGATTCCCTGTATAGTATGGTATACTTTCGTTCTTTAATTAATTATTTATTGTGTATTTTATATATTTCATCTTGTATAGTTAAAATTAATATTTGCTGTCTAATCTCACTCGCAACCAAAATGCGAGTCTAATTTTAAAAGTTGATATTTGTCTAACTCTTTTTTAGGTAACCATGAGTTTAGTAGGATATATCTACATCTATTTACTAGGTGGTATAACTTTTATACCTCTCGTTATATTTCTGTTTATTTATCTTCACCCTGTAATAGATGATGCCAGCAATGAAATCAATGAAGGGGAAGAGAAAGTGAACGTTGGAGAGATAGAGGAAAAGGAATCATCAGGATTGAAAACGTACAGATCGGGATGGATCACTGTGACACAGGATTACATTGAATCAATTGATGATATTTCTTCGAATACCCAATCGATAAGTGAATCAACCGAAAATAAATCAGCCTATTCTTCGTTATACAAGTTGGTTAGGAATTCTGATTCGGAATCATCTACCACAGTTGAAACTTCGAGCCAACCTATCGAGACCAAAAGTGATACCACGGTTAAGAAATCACAAAAGAAGCACAGGTTCTATGCGGTGCTTAAACATGGCAATTTATTCTTGTACAAGAACGAGAGCTTAAAGGATGTGAAGCATGTTATTGTCTTGTCTAATCAAATAATTTCTGTGTGGCCTCGGGATATACCAGATGGTCAACTATTCACTAAGACTACAGCTATCTGTATTATGAAGAGTGACTGGTCAAGAAAAAGAAGATTGTTAGAAGTGTTTGAGAATGAAATAATTACTACAAATGATATTTTGATGATGAACTTGAAACCACCATCGGGATCTATCTTTATATACTGTGATACTAATATTGAAAAGGAAGATTGGTATTTTAGCTTGATAAAAGCAACTAAGTCAGAATCGGAATCTAAAAATTTAAATCCGCTGGTGCATGCAAAGACTTTACATTTCGAGACGGATGATATGATTAATTTAATCCAGACTTTATACAGTTCGGAAGGTCAATGGCATACGAAATGGTTGAATGCAATGATAGGTAGGTTGTTTTTGTCGTTGCAGAAGACAGAGTTTTTGAAGGAATTTTTGAAGAACCGTTTGAACAAAAAATTAAACAAGATAAAAAAACCGGGGTTTTTGGACACTTTTAAACTCGTTAAGCTAGATGCAGGGACTGCTGCTCCATTTATAACATGGCCTAGCTTGCAAGAAATCAACCCTAATGGTGATCTTGTTGTCAAGTTATTTCTTCATTATCATGGAAAGTTATCATTTCAAATATCGACAAAGGTAAATATTAATCTCGGTTCGCGATTCAAACCTAGGGAAGTTGATTTATTGCTATCAATTACAATTGAAAAGTTAGAGGGCCCAATGCTAGTAAAATTTAAACCACCACCCTCTGAAAGAATTTGGTATTCCTTCGAAAGCGAGCCTTTAATCAATTTAAAAATTGAGCCAATTATAAGCTCAAGGCAACTCACCTATAATATTATTACCAATTCAATTGAAAAGAAATTGAAAGAAGCTATTAAGGATGCTCTCGTTTTACCACATTGGGATGATTTTGTATTTTATAATACTGCGAATGAAATTTATAGAGGTGGAATATGGGATAAAGATAGCAGACCAAAGGAACCGGCGGAGACAGAAGAATCACTGGACATTGAAGAATCACAGCAACAATTGGCAGAAGATGCTGAGTCTATAACTGAGGGACGCGATATGCCAAGACAAAATACATCAAGCAATTTAACAACAAATAAAACAGGGGACGCTTTACCACCCGTAAAGGCTAATACTGTAACTCCAAAATTAAGAATTTCAAATACTCTAAATGATATTTCTAAGAAAATGAAAAGGCCAAAATCAAATACCACTCTTAGTGTGAATGATGACAATTACTATTCTGATGGGTCGTTCGTCGAATCTTCTAAAACCATTGATCATGATTTATCCGATCCGAACAACAATAGAAAGTCCACTATGAATACGTTGAAAAAGATTGGAAAATGGTATTTTAAAGATGAAAAATCGATTCCAGAAAACGAGAATTATACAAAACCAGAAATGATCCTGAGTCGGAGAACTGTTAAGAAATCTGGTTCAGATAGCTCAAAACTGCATCAAAATATGGATGTGCCATCGTATGAAATGTTTAATAAAGACTTGCATTCTGATGCTAATTCTGCAAAGGATACTTATAATCAAATTAGTGCTACGGGCAGACCAAGAACGAATTCTAAATTAAGTTTAGGTAGCACAGAAAAGCCATTAAATTTAGACAACGATTCAGAAACAGCTTTTAATGAACCTCTTGAGAATGATGAGCCAATTGGTTTAAATATCGATATTGATGATAGTAACAGTATAAATTTAAAGGAAGGTTCAAAAATTGCTTTATCATCAAGCTTTTCACCTACTAATGCAAGTATTATATCAGATTTTACTGAAAAACATCCTGTGCCCCATCATAGGCACAGAAAACCTCCCCCCGAACCTGTCCCGAAGACACCTCCCCAATTACCCCCTAGGGAAATCGATGGAGTTACCAATGATGTTACAAGGTCATTAAACACTTCGAAAGACAAGAAGATGAATGTATTGGAAGAAGAAAAAGAAGTGAAAGCAGGACAACTTTTAAATGAAAATGAAAGTAATGATGAGGTTAATGATAATGATATAGATGATTTAAGTATTTAGAAATTCAGGTATTTCGATATTTTGGTATATATTTAGAGATGATAATTATGTATATGCTGCCCAGCCACCATACATTTGACATAGCTTTTCCACGGCTGATGCCTCTTGTATGAGTATATCTACTTGGCCGTGAATATTCATCGGCAAACCTTCATTTTCATCTACTAATCCTCTAATCTTTCTTCTAACCTTTCTCAAATGATCCTGCGGGTTTTGCTGCGTTTTCCAATCTAATAACGGATCATATATAAGAGTTTCTAAGATATTCATCAACGAAGCTTCATTTTCTCTTAATATAGACCCAGTTACTTCGCAAGTAATTCTAAAGGAACCTTCAATACCACTAATACCCATAGCATCCACCATGTTTTGAGTTAGTCTAAAGGGCACGATTTCAGGAGTAGGTAATGTTTTGCCTTTTTCGAATAAACAGTCAAAATCAATATGAAGAACTGAGCCTGTTTTCTTGAAAAATAGCATGTTTTCGCAATGCCTATCTCCAAGACCTATTATGTATCCGACTATTGACATAACAGCAGATGACCTGGTGAATGAAGTTCTCGCTAAGTACCATGTTCTAGGGTCAGAAAATTGATTAATAAACCAATTATGTAAAACAGGCGGTGTAGTCTTACAAATACTTTCAAATAACTCAATGAGGTTACTTAGAGCATTCTGGTCTGACGAAGTTTTACTTTTAACCATTTTCTGAGCCTCATCAAGTTTCATGAAAAGCTTTCTATCATTGGAGAGCTGTCCCATTCTTTTTCGCTGATCATTTATAATAGCTTTCATTGTTGCAACATCCTGTACAAATTCGATAACTCCCATGTTTTCTGCTAGAGGGACAACTGAATAGTTTGCAATACTTAGATTCCGCTTTCTAGCTTCGGTACTAGCTGATAATAATCTATTTATCATGGTTGTAAATTCAACAACTTTAGCATCTTTTCTAGTATCATCTTTCTTCACCATAAGAAGATACGTTAATCCATTTGAACCTCTTATGAAAACTTGTCGAGGCATCTGTAAAGAATGAAATATGTTTACCATATCATCAAAGCCCTCAAATGTAACACTAGAAGACTTTGGGAATGCACTGGCGAAATTCTTAGTATGCTTAACTGAAGGCAACCTAATTTCAAGGTTTGATCTCACAGGTATAACTAATGAATCATAACTTTCATTTAAATTATTAATCCCAAAGTCATTCTTTATTGACATTCTTCGAATAGTCTTTTTCAGTATTTTAAAACCAGCAAGCTTGATAAGACTGCTAAACAACTCTCTTGCACTTTGTACATTAGATGCCAATGACGTATCTGAAGATTGCAACTTTTTGAGAATCCCGGAAACACGTTGTTTTCTTGTGGAATCGTTTGAATTTAAATGAGATAAGACATACCACAAGCTATGTTTAGGATACGCTTGAACAAGTTTAAAAATTATTTGAAAAAGAAGCTGCGCTGATGGATTATGCTTGTGTCCAATTCTAGATAAAATCTGAGTTATTGATGTATACCAGACATAAACTGGAATAACATCAATATAAGAACTAATATCTAGAATAATCTGATTCATTATACGTTCAGATTCTTTAGACTTTTTCTGTTGTTGTGCAAAATCAAGCCAAATTGTAATGAACTTAGGTAAAGCTTCAAATATGAATGTTGGACCTAACGCTAATGCTTTTAAGAAAAATCGAATAATTTGCTGCTCACAGAATCCACTTGTGTCTGATTGTGATTCTTTGATTTTATTATAATACTTCCCCAAATCATAAAAGGGCTTTTCCCAAGTACTCTCTAATTTATAAGCTTTCACATATTCTGAAATGATAGTAGCTGATGAACTATGGTTTGACTCATCCAACCACTCTGCATATTGAAGTTGCACACTTGCTTTCTGCTGTTTGCTTTTGAATTGGTCATCGGAAATGATTTTGGCAAGGGACTTGATAGCTTCTGTTTGTCTTCCCTGGGCCCACAATAATTCCGCATACTCAATATTGGCACCTTTATCATTTAACGCCATAGCATTCATTATACTTCTAGTAGAAATATCAAGCCTTTCATTTTTTCTTGCAACCTTTGAACAAAAAAGTAATATATCAGATATTTTGTTTTTGTCTTGGATAATCATATAGGCTACTCTATGCATTGCTAATATTTTCCATTGAGAATCAAAGCTCTGATCGATATTTTTGATTCTTTCCTTTAAAATAATTTCATTTTCTCTCCTGAGGGACTCGTTAAGGAGTGGATAATTGGAAACTATCAAAGATAAATCAAACATAATATGTAATTGAGCCATTAAAACTGAATTCCTGGAGAATGAAGAAGACATAGAAGAGACTAAGGATGTACCAATTGTGCGATAAATATTTTCCATGTATTGCTTGAAGTCTTCATTTTTAGATTCATATAAGAATTTTAAACCTTTGGCAAATTGGTAATTTGTCAAAGTTTCAACATCTTGTGGTTTACCAATAGAATCTGTTATATAAGTCCATTTGTCGATTTGATTCTTGTCACCCGACACAACAGCAGCCTGAAGGCCAACCATTGACCAATCGAGCGGTATACTACTTAAATTATCAAGATCAATCTTTGCTGCCAAGGTAGAAAGAACTTCATCATATAAGGCATGATCGCTTAATGACTTTAATAGCTTCGTATTATTTTTGATTTTATCTTCTTCATTACCAGTTTCGCTCAAGACTTGAAAAGATTCTTGGGCAAGAGACCAATTTTCATTATACTGGAAAGTAGTAAGTTTTTCGGTCAAGTTATTTGTTGAAAACTTTTTCAAAATACCGGCAAGAGCATCAAAATCATTGATATTGGAGTACATGCTTTGTAATGTACTGACAATATTTAGATTATCAATTAAATAAGATTCATCAACTCTTCCATCCCTATAGCATTTTTCCAAATATAATATAGTTCTCTCGTACGAATCACATTCAGCCGATTTGATAGCAATTAAATCCATCGGTATACTTTCTAAGAATATACCAACAAATGCGATGTTCTTTTTAAGCCTGATAGTTTCTGTTTTCAGTAATTGAGAGTCATTTAGATACTGAGTTGCAGCAGACACCCATTCATTGCAGTAATCCAAAACTTCAAAAATCGATTGATAACATAATTTTAGCTGCTCGATTCTATCGGGGGGTAATGAGGCGGAATCGATATGTAAAATATGTAAAAACTCTGCCTTGATATCTGATGCCACAGATTCATCACCATTAATTATATGACTCAAAGCAACATATTTTAATAGATATTGGCATATTGAAATGTCTTGATTTCGTGCTAGCATAGAACAGGTTTGAAAAATCACATATTTTGTTTCATTTTGTGTTTCAAGGACACTCTTAAGAGGCCGTTTAAGTAAATTAGAAGTAAACTCAATAAGCCATTTTTCGTGGTTTGATCCAACCTTATAATATGGAAATTGGAGTCGCTCAAATCGTGATATCGGCGATACATATTTTGATGATAAGAGTGGAGTTAACGTAGATTTTGCGACATCACTGAAGTTTTTCCAAGTTTCAGCTAATAAATCTTGACTAGTCGGATTAAGTACACTGCTGTCTAGCCTCAAAACCTCCAAGAACTTTTGCATTGAATATGCAGAAAACAATTGCTTGATTGGATCGTTTGATGCCCAGAATAACATTATAACTCTATTTTCCATAAAGTGTCGTAAAAAATCAGCATTTTCCTTATAATCATGAAAATCATGTATAATTATAACTTGATCTTTGATTGTTTTCAAATTAAATTTGTTTGAATCTAATGCCCCTATGATTGCAAGCGCCTTTGCACAGCTTGTGGATATCTCATTATTATCATTCTTGAATTTGGAAGCTGTATCTAACAAAGTTCGCATAAGCTCAGATATGCAATCTTCGAGCAATGGGTCTTTGAAGTCTTCGTTCTGACACCTTTCCTGATATTTTGTTGTATAATTGATGAGATCATCTAACGCTTGTTGCACAACATACTTATTGCTTGTTTTCAATCTTCTGGTAAATTCTGGAAAATAACTGGTTTTCGACTTTGGTTTCATCAAGTTTCGAAAGCTTGCATCAAGTTTATAATATTTGTCCAAGTTCTCAATAAATGGAACTGAAAAATAGTATAGCGAATACTTGTTATATTTATCTCTCAATTCTAGAAATAATTTTTTTAAAATATCAACAGCTATCAATTTAGATCTGTGTTCTAGTTTGTTAAATTTTTGAAATATTAAGGAAATGATGATATCGAATAGCGATATTAAATGATTTGTTTGTAAATTCTGTACTAGCACGTTCCAACATCTGATTGCAGGCAATTCAAAATCAGGATTTTCCAACGTTGCTTGTAAACAGGTGGATATTTGACCCAAAGCTGATGCAGCAGCAGCAGTATTATTACTAATAAGAAATTCAATTGCCCGCAAAGAGCTAACCTTCTCAAGATAGGGCTTCGTACCTTTTATATGATGTACGTTTTCAGAAAATCTTTGGACCAATTCTAAAACATGGTCACCCAAAAGATTTTCTATATAATCAAAATCTTTTGGAATTGTTTTCTTATTACTTCCGTTCTTTAATAAATTAATTTTTGAGACATATCTTAAGGCATTTAAAATTTTTCCTTCATTTTGAAAATTTGCTTTCTCTTCAATTTGGATTTGAAGTAATATGAACCATGTTATCTCTCCAACGCTAGAAATCAAATCAGTCATTGATAAAGTTTTATATTCAGGGCTAACATTACTTAAAACATTGATGATATAGGATTCATTGATTGTATCATCTTTACATAAATATGTTGCCATGATTCTTGGTAAATGCCTAGTAATTAATTTCCATTTTGACATTCCTGAAGCTTCAGCTATCTCATGGATAAAATCATACTTATAATATTCTAAGAATCTCGGAGTGGTGTATTCTTTTGTTCTATTCAAGAAGTATTTTTTTGAAACGCCTAACAACTCTGTGATCTTTTGTAGCATTCGTGGTTGCTTTACAATTCGTTCAGCAATACTTGGTAAGAAGGGCGAAAGAAGCTTGTAAGGGGTAAGACACTTGGCAGCTGCAACATTTAGAAACTCACTGTAAACCAAATTTACATGTTGTTCATTTGCTTCTCCAAAGAGGTCAATTAATTTAATAAATAAGACACATAGCCATTCACCTTCAGATATAATGGCCAATTCACCTAGAGCTTTAATTGTTGATTCAGCAAGATATATCTTTCTGCTATCGTTATCAAATTTTATTTGAGAAACCTCCCGAAACATGGAACGAAAGCTCGCTTCAAGGATTTCATCTTTAGGTGATATCAAGTAGAGAGGTAATATCCTAGTAGCAAGTATTCTTACATCCCTGTTAAGACTCTGGCTCAAGCACCTCATGACAAACCTAAAAATTATATCCTCATTATAGTTATATTTTGTTGGAGGTTTAAACGAAACAAAAAGCTTGAAAATAGTTAATAACATATTAGAGCACAATAAAGGATCATTTTGAATAATCCTAATTTTGTCACCTAACAAAAAATCGCAGATAATGTTTTTATAATAGACTTGCATATCTTGCTGATCCGTAACATATTTTCTAAGAGATGACACAGTCTCATAATAAGTTTTATTCATTGGACAATTACCACATCTTGTGCATTCTTCAACTTTAAAATGGTAGTCACCACTGACGAGGCATGGAAAATGACCTAACGAAGTTATTAGTGTATATAATGTTGATCTATTATCGAATATCCTGGTATCGCGATTAGGGTCTCGAAGATCCTTATCAATAAGTAGTTTGATATGATTAATCCAAGAGCCAAAATTAAACTGATCATTATTATCATAATCGTTAATCATAGATTTTGGTATGACTATGAAATCTAGTAGGTTGCATATTATTTTATTTTCATGGCTTAATTTGTAAGCGTACTCATTCAATTCTAGTTTTAACGAATCTAGTTCGAAATCGTTGAATGGAGTAATGACGAACTTGTTACTTCGATAAAAATCAATTATTTTTAAATTGTTGGTAGTAATACCATATTGATAATTAATTAGATGCAATGATTTGATGATTATTTCAGGAAAATTCGTATGCTTGTTGGATATTGATATTATGAACGAATTTAATTGAAAGGAGTTGATGAAGGAATCCAAACAGTCTTTTTCCCGACATAATTGAAATACCCTTAATAAACTATAGCTTATAGATCTGTTTAAGGCGACTAATTGTAAATTGTACGTGTTTGAAGTATTGTCGTCGAATGACTTCATGTGGTCAATAATCCAATTAATAACCAATGAAATTTGAGACCAATTAACAGATTCATTGATCACCAAATTGTTTGTTAAGTTTAATACCAATACAGACTTTAGGCTGTCTAACAACCTTAGATTCGAGTCTGATTCATTCACAACAATTAATTTTAAATCAATCAGATTGAGAATAAACCATAATTTTCTAGCGTATGATTCAAATTTTAATTCCATACTATTTATGTTGAGTAGTAGTTTAACAGATAAATCATAATCATTCAAAATGGAGAACAAATGAATAGTTCTTGCAAGATCTTTCGAGTAAGTCGAATTGAAATTCAATAATGAATTCGCTATGCTTAGAGAATTGAATAGTTTATTCAAATTATCATCAAATATTTTTAATAATTTTAGTTTGATCTGATTCTTGTATCTGAAATTATGCAAATTTGTTGTAACCAAATTTATGATATCTATAATGTAACTCTTCACTATATTCGTTATCTCATTACTATCGTTGAACGCAACTATGTATTTTAACCCAAAAAAAATTGCCCATTCATATAATAATTGGGGGTCGTTTTGGACATTGTTACTGGTATCAAGACTGAATATTTGGGCATCTTCTTCACTTGTTATTTCGACATTTAGCAAGTGCTTTCTTTTAGTTAGAACCAACTCGATAGTACTTATTAACCTCTTAAGTAAACCTATGTTCTCATTGAAATTCACATCGTCTTCCTGCTGTAACACCTGTAACTTAGAGCTGGTGAATCCATAAAGATACAATATTAACTTTTTAAAGTCGGTATTGTCGTCATGGGTTATATTTCTGTAAATGTCATCTAAAAATAACGTTAGCTCTGGCAGACTGATCTTTTGATAGGCTGAAACAAACATGTAATGGCGTAAGAATTCATTAATATAATAAAAACTTAAACTTCTATACGCGCAAATCTAATGTTTTACGATTCTATATTCGATATAAAAAATACAAGAATTTATTAAAAAAGGTATAAATACATACAACGATATATAAGAAAATGCAGATAATTTTGACAAATGGTCATAATTTAAAAAGTTAATGCCAGTAATTCCTACTGGTTACCATCTATATGCGACAGTAGAGAATTCAAACGACTTAGTCACCAGTAAATTTCGAGCTAAGTGCTATTATTTAGATGTATAGCGTACTTCAATTAGTAGGAGCTAAGTGCGAACCTAACCGGTTCCTTATTGGCTCTAGCTTATTGGCCGTAGTTAATTGGCCTCTTGAAAAGTAAAATATGTGGTTCTGGGGCATGTGTTTCATAATGGGCCCACCCTAACGATTGAGTGATACCTAAGCCCCTCCATTCTTCTTCTTGTAATATTCTTAAGGTTCCAGTCTCAGGGTTGAAGTAATCTTGTGGTATCGCTTTTAACATATTTTTGGGTAACATAACATGTCTATATTCGTGGGTATCGTCGCTGTATCTCGGGCTATAATGAATCATATCCTGAAATTCAAGGATTCTAGCTCTTTCGCTATCTGTTAGGTATCTAGGCTTGCTCATGTTTGTATATTCGATTGTTCTAATTGTTGTCCTTTTTAGCCGACTTTCTTTGATAACATTTACTTAAACGAAAAATTAGCTTCTAACTGAAAAATCAACGCGTCCCGAACTTACATAATCAATGAACCAAATTGTTAACTGATGGTTATTATGACCTTATCATCGATAATGCAACAAAACTATGAATACGGTATATTATGGAGTTAAGACGAATAACTATGAAGAAGATGCGTTGATAAACCTATTAAAAAATGGAGTCAGTCTATTGGTAATACCGTGGAATGAATTTAAGAATCACACAAATGACTTGATATTGTTGAACTCGATTGTAGTATTGTCTAGTGAAATTAAGGACTTTTGGGAGAATATTACTTTCCAGATGAGACAGGTACGGTGTAAATACTACTGCTTTTTAGTACCGGAAGAATTCTATCATTTAGCACACGATCGAGTTCGATTGCAACTCACTGAATTAGTCGCTAATTTACCGGCAGCTGCTCACATCTCCTTGATTGTACCATTAACGGGAAATTTTATGCATTGGGAATTCTGGAACAACATTAAAATGGAGAACGTATCTGTCATGCTCTATTTATTGCAAGAAGTTGATGAAAGTATAATTACGAGATGGAGCACTGAACCTATTACTTCAATTATGCTACCTGCTGCAAAATTTGTACATGAGTATGAATTGCCCGTTTTGCCTGATTATTTGCAAGCTATACTAAGAAGGTTTATTTCCCAGACACCACCTGCTATTATACTTGTGTCAGATAAGGACCAGAGTACGTATATTAAAGGCATAAAATGGTTTATTTCGAAAATAGAAATTGACCCAACATCTGATATTTTAATAGATCCTTTACAACCATTGAAGGACAACTTGTCTTTGGGAATCTATGAAGTCTTCGAAACAGATACAGTCAAGTATGATCAATACGAGAAGGCAATCTTTACGGCGTTGAAAGATATAAATTTGCCCTGTGTAAAAATTCTCGTAATAGGACCTGGTAGGGGACCATTAATAGATAGGCTTTTGAGGGTTATCAAAGAATTGAAATGTGAATTTCGTATAGATGCTGTTGAAAAGAATCCCAAGTGCTACGTGGTATTACAAGAAAGGAACCATATAGAGTGGAACGAGAAGATTAATTTGATAAACGAAGACATTAGGACCTGGAAACATGCCACTTATAATTTAGTGATATCAGAATTGCTTGGATCTTTTGCGTGTAACGAAGTATGCCCCGAAATTTTACAAGATTTTACAAATGAAAATACAATAATGATACCGCAAAGTTATGAAAACTATTTACAACCAATATATTCGCCGCTTCTTTCAAGCCTTAGAAATGAACAATTGGAAAGACCGTATTTGATCAAACTAAATTCGTTTTATATTATGAGTGATATACAACCTATTTGGAAATTCAGCCATCCAACAAGAGCTAAAACTTCTAGATCTAGCTCCATTAGTTTTCATATTCCATATAAAGGTAAGATTAATGCACTTCAAGGGTTTTTCATAGCTAATTTATATGGCTCAACTCAAATTGGAATCCTTCCTCAGCTTATAGAAGGCTTTTGTAATTCCTGGTATCCATTCCTATTTCCTATATTGGAAATTGATTGTAATGGTGATTCGATGATAAGCTTGCAAATTGAAAGAATCTGTAACAACAAAGTATGGTACGAATGGTCCGTTAATAATAAAGTATATAATAAGCACGGGTTATATTATTCTATAGGTTTATAATGAGTGAGTCACTATATTTCAAATAAATTAGTACGTTATGAATTCACTTGGAGTTTTAATGTTGTCCCTTTGTGACGCATGTCTATAGGCCTTCGAGCCACCAGCGATAGAATCTTTATCTCTTGAATGTCTATGTGAACTTTTCAGTTTTGAACTCTCTGATCTTGATTCTCTGTGACTTGAATGTTTATGCTTCGAGACTTTATCACTATCACTTTTATGCCTAGATGTATGTCTATTGGGAGACCTATCTCTAGATCGATGCCTGTTTTTAGAAATATGTTTACCTGAGTCTTTCACTGACTGGTACTTCTTTAACTGTTCATTCCTTATTCTTACTAGAGGATCATTCTCGATATTCTTGTCACCACTATTAGAGGAACTTATGGTCTCTTCAAATCTGCTAGATCCTTTAGTGTCGATGTATTTATTTCCGCTTAGCATATTCTCAACCTTTCGCTTACCTAGCAAGAACTCATCATCCATGTCATTAAATTCACTATTTGATTTATTGCCAGACTTGGACTCATCATACATCCAGTTAAGATTATTGAGCTCCCTTTTTACTTCTATAGGAACGTTTTCGGCATCACCATATTGTAGTTTGATTAATTCTTGTTTTTCCTTTTCTTTTTTTAATTCTTCATTTTTCGCCTTTATCTTTAAATGTTCACCCAAAGCTTCTTGTTCTTGTTCCCAGAGCTTTTTCTGGTTTTTCATTAAACCAGGATGCCATGACTTCTTTAAATTTAAATCTCCTGGCATGTTGAAAGTTAAATGGTATAATTAAAAAAATTGTGATGCTTTTTGTGAAGGGCCCTTTAAAATCATACAATACAAATTGCGAGAATTTGTACTACATTAAATATCAAACTATGAAGGCTTTATTTCAGCTATCTAATCGACTAAATGCAATATACACTATACATACACAGATGCCGATGGGAACCTAATACTTACTATATAATAATAAATGTTCACAATAATAGCATGATCAAGTTAGAAACCGTGAATCTTAATATTCTTCTTTGGTAATTGCAATTGAGAAATCAAAAATTCACTCACTTTAACTCTTTGATCACCTTGTAATTGAATAACTTCACCTAACTCTTCATCTTTAACGATGTTACCATTACAGGCAAAATCCTTCTTTAAAACCTTCAAAATCTTCTTCAAGTCATATTCTTGTGGTAAACCTTGAACAGTGGTTAAAGTTTTACGCCCATTACGTTGTTGGATACGGATATGGATGTAATTTGTTGGTTGAGCTTCAGAATCACCAGTATCGGCGAATGGATCTATATTTTGTTAGTATATGTGTCTCAGTGTTTTGCATAACAATATTTCTCTTTATTTGTGCCATATCTTGATATTGTCACAAATAATACATACCAAAGGCGTTTAAGTTTTGGATAGTTGACATAAATAGGAAAAATCCGAGTTTTTCAGTAGTATATCTGTCTATTTGTCAAAATAACTAAGAAAAGAAAGCAATTAATTTAACAGAAAAAAATATTGAGTACTTTTACTTGGGGTCTTTGTGACACTTCGGACTGGATGACGGTTACCCGCTTCTGATCAAGTGTTACACTTCCCCTACACTTTCCCTTAAAGAGATTTTCAAGCTTACAGTGTTTAGATATATTATCAGTATCGATGATTTGCAATACAGCATATCATATTGAATTTATGAGGTGCTGAATGGTTTAACATGAACTATGGAAATTGTAGACTTGATATTTCATATAGATTGTATGCATATCGCGATAAAAGAATACAAATCCCCCCCAGAATACTATCGGCACTAAATTACATCATCTCGTAATTAAGCACAACACAGAGTTAGTAAATAGAAGACTTGAAATACCTTCTACAAAACGACATAGTTCTTTTTCTTTAAATTTTGCATAGTTGTGTCGCACTTGGGATTATATGCTGAACAGGAATGAACGAATAGCTAGCCAGTAATTACAAATTACAAATTAGCAGTGACAGAGTGACAAATTAGTTCGGACGTATATACGTATAATATTGACCGATGTCGATAACTCAAATGATCTTATGCATTATACTAAGACCAATGCTTATTTGTTGGTTGAAAAACATAAAAAGATTATCACTATCACATGCATGTGATTGTTAAATAATGCAACCAACAAAGTTATATACATTAGAATAAAGGGTTAAAGAAGTCCCATATATGACACTGAATGTCAACTAATAGACCCTGTAGTATGTAGATATGGATGATACGAACCTGTGATGTAAGAGTGATAAATGGTAAGTTGATTTAGAGTGAAAAATAGCTATATTATGACCATGCAATAACGTAATCAAGTTTGGTTATGTAATCGGATTATGGAATTGTTAAAAAAAAATAGCCAAAATGATTGTATTTAAGAATTCTAAAGTATCAATTGTTGTTCTTCAATTACATTTTCCATCCAATGTCTGATATAGTTAGGAAGACGGAAGACATCAAGGATTCTTCGATTGATACGAAGGATGCAAAGGATGTGGCGGCCAAAGATGTAAAGGAAAAGGAAACATCCCTGTCCGTGACCCATGAACACGAAAAGAAAAAGCAAGCATTTGTTACAAGAACTATATGGACAATTGTCATGATAGCGTTTTTCTTCACCTGTTTGTTGTCAGGTCATCTTGCTTTGATTAGTGTTGTATTTCTCTTACAGACGTTGACTTTCAAGGAGATCATAAGTTTGACTGCTGAGCCAGCTAGAGACAAGAAATTGCCGTTCAACAAATTGTTAAACTGGTATTTCCTTTTTGCGACCATCTACTACTTAGACAGTGAAAGCTTCTTTAACTTTTTCCAGGAATCAATTTATGATAACAAAATTTTATCATTATTAGCAATTCATCATAGAATTATTTCATACACGTTTTACATTGCTGGATTCATTTTCTTTGTTGCTACATTACAAAAGGGTTACTACAAGTTTCAGTTTGCTCAATTGTGCATGACCCATACGACCTTGATATTAGTGGTCTTCCAAAGTCATCTTATTATTGATAATATTTTGAATGGATTAATCTGGTTTTTCTTACCGGTAGGGTTAGTTATTGTTAATGATATCTTTGCTTATCTTTGTGGTATTACCTTCGGTAGAACTCAATTGATTGCCATTTCTCCAAAGAAGACTGTTGAAGGTTTTGTTGGTGCTTGGGTTTGTACTGGTCTCTTTGCATTACTTTTCGCATTCTTTTTATCAAAGTCCAGTTACTTGATATGCCCTGCTACAAACTTAACGACAAATATCTTTAATTATCCAAGATGTGATCCAAACCCTGTTTTCATTTCTCAAATTTATCAATTGCCTGCTAATTTGGTAGAAATTTTCCATTTGGAAACTATTTCTTTAAAACCAATTTATATACACGCATTAAACTTTGCTACTTTTGCTTCATTAATTGCCCCATTTGGTGGGTTTTTTGCTAGTGGTTTGAAAAGAGCATTCGGTATTAAGGATTTTGGTGATACCATTCCAGGTCATGGTGGTATTACGGATAGATTAGATTGCCAATTTTTCATGGGATCCTTTTCTTATTTGTACATTCAAACTTTTGTTTCTATCAGCCACGTCAACATCGGTAATTTACTTCAATTAGCAATTATGAACTTATCAATTCCTCAAGTAGTTCAATTGGTGAAATCTTTGTTAAAGTATTTGAATAATTCTGGCGTCGTTGACGATAATAAATTAACAAAAATTTTCGAAATATTAGACGTTACTCTTGCAAATGCTTAGTGTATTATTCCGATGCTCTTCTAGTTGAAGTAAATGACTATTCTGTGATAAAAATTTTTTTGTATAGTTTGCAAATGTAAAATATACAAATATTTAATATAATTCTTCGAACTGAGACTCAAATCTACGTAAATCCGTAATTTGGACTCTAAATCTCCATAAACCGAAAAAGTGAGCTTTTGTCTACGGATGTTCCGACAATCATGAATTAGTGCCTTTCAGTTCTATCTAGTACTCGATATAGACTCTATTTCTAAATATAATAATAAGTATACATTACAATAAGTGTTTTACTTGCTACATTGATCACTGCTATTGACTCTAATAATGTAATCTAATTTGGTTCAAGTTCCAGCTTGGCTATCTGATTTCGTGGTGTGCTGATCGCGCTGGATCATTTTCTTATTGTCGCTCATGAATCAAATAGTTAACCAAGCATAGTATTGAGCCTAACTACCTCCACTCAGTATATAATATAAATTATATTATCAGTGCATCTAATGCAATGTTCTTTTAACAATGAATGCTGTGCCTTGCTTAACATTCTATCCAGCAAAAGAACCGCAAGTCAAATATGAACCATAGACAGACTGCATATAAAATAAATCGAAGCTGCGATCTTGATTAATTAGGCAATGCGACTAGCATCATTTTCCTGGCTGTTACCTATTGCGGTTTAACCAGTGTTGAGTTTGGCTGGAATTTTGCAGTAATCTCTTGATTTGATCCAAAACTATTATCAACCAGCATATTAGACTTGGATTTCGATTGAGGATGTAAGGTATAAATATTCGTAAATAACCACTTGATCTGGTCTGGATTCAGCCTTTCTTCTCTTCATTACTTTAGTCACTCTTTTAGCCAAACTAACTACATTCTTTTATAACATGATGATAAGTTCTACCTACTTTCTTTCCTTCTTTTTACTTTTCCAAGTGATTATTGGTGCACCAGTTGCAAAGCTAATTACAAGAGTCCATACTGCGGATCCTGTAACTAAAACAAACACCTATACTACGGGTACCACTACTGTCAATTTACCACCTGTTGAAATCTTCATTTCAAATGGTGTCACTTATACTTTCACTTTGAATGAAAAAACTGCTGCATCTCCAACTACGTTTACATCCGTTTACACTGACAATAATGATAACAACGATAACAACGACAACAGCGATAGCGACACTGAGAACGATAATAATAATAATAATAATGCACCAGCTCAGACAACTGCTGCCATCACTTCTGCTACTCCAACAAATAACGGAGGAAATGATTCACCTGCTGCTGAAAATTCTCCTCACGATTACACTCCTGCTGCTACAAGTAGTCCACAAGACGATGCACCAACTTCAACAAGCAGTGCACAAGATAATGCACCAACCTCGACAAACAGTCCAGATGACAATGAACCAACTTCAACAAACAGTCCAGATGACAATGAACCAGTTTCAACAAATGCTCCTGAAACTACTTCTTTGCAAAACACTATCTCTTCCTCATCCACCGACCAGGAAACAACTAGTTCAGCTGAATCTACTCAATCAACTTCAAACTCAGACTCAAGTTCTTCAACCTCTTCCGGAAATATTTCCGCTCCAACTGCAATTGCCTATTCACCTTATGCAAATGATGGGGGTTGTAAAGATGCCTCTACAATTGAATCAGATTTAGAATTAATTTCAAGCAAAGGAATTAAAAAGATTAGAGTTTATGGTACTGACTGTGGATTATACGATACTATTATTCCAAAGGCTAAAGACTTAGAAATGAAGATTAACCAAGGATTTTGGATTTCCGATGCCGGAGTGGATTCAATTGATGATTCTGTTTCTGAATTCATAGACTGGGGTTCTGAGAACGGATATGACGTGTTTGATTTCATTACTGTTGGCAATGAAGCTATTAATTCGAATCACTGTTCAGTTTCTGAATTGATTAGCAAGATCAAGAGCGTTAAATCAAAATTACAAGACGCCGGCTATAAAGGTAAGGTTACAACATCAGAACCACCAGCTATATTTACTACTAATCCATCCTTATGTAAGGATTCGAACATTGATTTTGTTGGCATTAATCCTCATTCTTATTTCAATACTGTTATCGATGCAAAGTTGGCTGGTTGGTATGTTACTAGTGAACAGTCTTTAGTTTCTAAAGCATGTGATATGGATGTTGTTATAACTGAAACTGGTTACCCACATAAGGGAACTAGTAATGGAGATAATTACCCATCTGCAAAAAATCAAGAAATTGCTATTAAGTCAATTATTGAAAAGACCAAAGGTCAAGCCACAATCTTAAGCACATTCGACGATATATGGAAACATCCAGGTCCACATGGTATTGAGCAGTACTTTGGGGCTATCAATTTGTTTAGCTAATTTAATTACTTTGACTCTTGCATACATTCATTTCTTTCTTCGTTCAAACTTTGCATTAACTATTTTACACTAAATATAAATATATACAATTTCATATGTTTCGTTTTGTAGTCTTAAAATTCTATAATTTTCGTCGGAAAGAATTCATCTATTAATTCCATATAATAGGGTTTCAATTCATCAACATCATATGTTTGGTCAATTTTAGAATACAAATCATAACCATTAAAAGCCTCAACAGCTTTAAGCATTTCTTCATCATGATCATCCATCAAATAACTATAGGCATATTCTTGATGCCAAGGATAGAATGAATGATATCGTATCATGGCTAACGCTTCTGGAGGTAATGTTGAATTCAACTTAGCTACATGATACATATATTCATCATGACCCCAACTTAGCATGACTTTATCTAATCCACATCCCTTAGAATAAATTCCGTACTTCGTATTATATAATGGATTGAAAAAATCTGGGTTCTTCTTAAAGCTATCAGGAAATATAATTCTCTTCAGAAATTTGCATCCAACCGGAAAGGTATCTCCAACCACATCCCATTGGCCTTTAGAATCAAAGAAATATAGAAGTTTGCCTAGATCATGTATTAACCCTACTAATTGAAACCAGCGGGGTTTATTGTCTTTTCTAATCGCTTCTGCTGTCTGTAATGCATGATCGATTTGGGATAATTCAGTGTCTGGGTCGCTATCATCCAACAACTTATTCAATCTTTCAAGTCCCTCCCAGATAGTCATCCTTGCTCTAGTCTTCGTTTTGAAATTGATACGTGCTTGAATATTATATGCTACCGTTTGTTTCTCGTGTTGCTCTTCATAAAATTGCTTAACTCTATCACAAGCTAATTCATATTGTCGAAACGCTTTTACATCTACTGTTTTCAAATATTCAGATTCAGCAGTCCAGTTTTCCCCTTTTTGTTCTCCCTCGTTCTTATTCTGCGATATTTTATTTTTTATATTACCTTTCAATTGATTAACGAGAGTTACTTCATTATCAATTTTTTCAAGAAGCGGTCCATCTTCCGCTTTTGTAACTTTTTGACATATTACATCCTTCTTTACTTTTCCTATACCTTGTTTAACCAGCATATTCACTAATTAAGTGCCAGAATAAGTAGCTACATTCAGATTTAGATTCAATTTTTTTTTCAAAAAAAAAATATTTTAGTTGAGGGTCGTGATAAGAATTTATTAGTTACACCCATTAAAATTATTACTGAAATATATAAGTTTATATAATACCTTTCATCACAAATTTATTGTGATTCGTCCATGCTTTTCTTTATATTATCCTCTGTTGACTCGTATCTGCCGTTGTGGAATTCTGTAGAATCAATAATCTCCCTAGGCTCAGGTTTGTCTAAAGCAACAAACGGACTACCAGAAATTCTAGAATAAATATATGTAACACCTATTCTTAAAGCAGCAACACAAAAGCATATTACAAGGCCTCCAAAAGGAGCAATAACAAAGGCACCAAATGGCCCCCAATCAGCGTCATCATAAATACCGTTCCACACCAACAACAATTTTCCACCTTCTTTTGCAGACCCATAATAAACAGTTCCGAAAATAAAAACACCAAGCAAACCACCTAAACCACCACACATAACATCCAATCCTCTTAAAAACCAGAAATAGGTATCGCTCAATCCCAAAAAGACTACTGGAATAATAGCAGCAGAGACTAAATCGGCAATTAAGTATATTTGTAAAATATCATCTGCAACCTTAACTGCAAGCACAATGATAGGGATCATAATTAAAACCACTAAGACTCTAGTATAATTAATGTGCAATTTATTACGGAAAATATCATTAGATATTGATGAGACCATTGCTGATTGTAAAGAATCAAAGGTACAAGTTGATAATGATATAACAAAGATTAAAATAAATGCAACCAACCAACCTGGCATTTTGGATAACAAAATGAAAAATGCATTGTATCCTTCTTCATCTCCAACGACTAAATCGCCTGCCCAAACTGCTAAGAAGCCTGTAGTACCAACCAATGTACAAATGACAAACGTAACAAATGAGGCGATCGAACATCCAATCCATAAGTCCTTGTTAGTACGACTTGCAAAAGTTCTTAACCAGAATCCTGCCATGAAACAATCGTTGGTTAATATAGCCACGAATAAAATATAAAGCAATTGCCAACCTAATTTATTAGCCTTCAACAAACCTGATTCTCCAACTTTCGACTTATCAATATCAATATATGAACCCATTCCAGCTGCACAAATGATAACTAATAGTAAAACAAAGACCCCCTGGAAGTTGTCAGTAACAAAACTTACTTTAAACCCACCAATGGATGTATAAATTGATGTAACTACACATTGAACAATCACAGCGGCCAAAGCATCTAATCCAGTTAAAGTTTCGATTGCAGTTCTGATAGCAGAAAGTTCTCCAACCATAAACAAAAACATGGTTAAACATGTGAAAAAAGATAAGTATAATGCCGTAATAATACCAAATCTATGCCTTACCCATTCTGTCAAAACGAACCCGTCAGGACACTTTTTTCTGATAATAGGTCCGAAGTATGCAAATCCTAGAATTGGAATGGCTCCACAAATAGTGTAAACCAATAACCCATGCAATCCAGAGATGTTACCGATTTCAGCGTATGTTGTGAGAATACCACATCCCATAGCTATGCAATGTTAATAACTATCATCTAATAATAATTAGACTATGTGATAACAACAAAACTTCCTCACGCAAGTACTAACTTGATCGAGTTCGAACGGTGTATTCTCAGTCTTTTCATTTCATTAACCTTCTGGGTAATGACATGGAAAGACACCCGCTAGTCTTATTGTTGTATTTTACAAATGGAATCCTGATAAAAAGATTGCCTTTTAATAATTGTTCTCCTTGTTTAATTATTACTTGATCAAAAGACCGTTATGTTACTATCACAAACAGTTACTTGTAAAATTACATACCTGAAGCAATAAAATTCAATGCTAACGGAAGTCCTCGCTGGGTTCCATTGGAAGATAAGAATGAATCTGCCTTAGTATACTTCCACGCAATGAATATACCCGTAGCTAAAAGAAAGGCATAAGTTAAATAAATAATAGCATTATTACCTTCGGACGATAATTGTGCCATATTTGTGATCTATCTTCTTATGTCTGAGCTATGAAATATAAAGATTTTTCATCATTGATTCATTGCAAACGAAAACTTATAAACATAATTTAGAATGCGCTTAAGCCGTGTGGCCTTAAATATGCGCTTAGAAGGGAAATTTGAGGATTGATTGAAGTAAAAAATACAAAATTGCTCCACGGCAGGTTCGAACTGTCGACCTTCAGATAACACAATTAAATAATTATGAGACTGACGCTCTGCCAACTGAGCTAGTGAAGCAATATGGGAATTCTAAATAATAGAACCGTTTTTAAAGGCTTTTTGAACTGTTTGAAAACTAGCATTTTTGTACAAATCTGAAGTAGTTTCAAATATATAATATGTTTCAGGCTTATTCAATTCAGATTTAGCTTTGAAAATAATCATTCAAGAGGTTTGAGGACAGATTGTATCAAAGCTGTATTCTATGAAAAGAAAATCAGCCAAATTTTACGCCTCATATATTTGGTAAAAAGTAGAGATCTCTTAGGCATTACCATGATACATACTAAAGTCGCCTCTTATAGGATCAATAGGAATTAGTCTATCATGTGTTAGAAAGCACGAATTTCAACTTTTCTGTTTTGACGTGGTTCTTAATGTGATTGGCTAATATGACACAAAGATTCGCTTATCAGTTGATTCAAGATCGTTATTTTTAATCTACTTATATAAATTTAGTCATTCGGTTTATTTATCGTCATATACATCAACTTTAATTTACAATACATATAGATGTATTCCTTTCATACACTGAGGAAGCTTCGTTTCGTGCAGTGTGCTTGTGCCATTTCTTGGTCCCTACTAGCAGCAGGCCCCATATTTGGATTTGCTGCATTAAAACCAATATTAATACTCGAAAAGGTATACGAGAATGAATGTGACATCTCTGTCAATTCCACTAATTCCTTAAATAATTTTGCATTAGATCCAAATGCATTTGGATCTCTAACTAGTCATTTACTATCTGAAATAAGCGTTTCGAAGAATGAGAAGAGTCCTGTTGCTAAGTGTTCCGCACAAGATCTTAAATTGAATATGATGTTCACAGTTGGGGCAGTAATGACCAATACTTCCGCGATAGTGATTGGAAAAGTACTAGATAAGTATGGCCCAAAAGTTTGTGGGTTTATTGGTGTCCTATTACTATATTTCGCATGTTTTGTATTTATTTTTGCTAAGCAAATTGAAAATAGATTTAGTTCATCGTACTTTGATCCATACATGATAGGATATACTGCGTTAGCATTAGGTGGGCCGTCGACGTATATGTCTTCGTTTCATTTATCCAACACATTTCCAGAGAAGAGTGGAACAATATTGGCATTCTTGAATGGTGCGTTTGATGCTTCCTCTGCTGTATTCTTATTATACAAAGTGCTCTACAAGCATTCTGATGCTTTATCAATTGACAAATTTTTCAAAATATTTTTGGTTGTTCCTACCTTCATAACTTTGGCACAAATATTTATTATGCCAAACAGCTCATATATTGCACCTCCCGATACATCGTTATTTAATAATGGCAGTCGTTCGTCACAAGAAAACGACGATGAAGCGACCGAAACTGAACCACTCTTAGGTAATTCTGGTGACAACCCTAGACAGTTACAAAGACGTGATTCTATTGGTGATGCATTAAAGCAACATTATGTCTATGAAGATGATGAAGAATTGTTTGATAATGGAGGTAAGCTATTTGGAATTTTGCATGGCTACTCGTCAGAGTATCAAATGAAAACCCCGTGGTTTTATTTGTTATGTGCATTTACTGCTATACAAATGTTAAGATTGAATTATTTCATTGCGACCATTAATACACAGTATACATATTTGCTAGGTTCTGCTGATAATGCGGAACCGCTTACAAGGTTCTTCAATCTAGCTTTACCATTAGGTGGAATTTTATCAATCCCTTTAGTTGGATATTACTTAGACAACTATTCTACCGTCACCGCATTTGCTACGTTGTTAACTCTTTCTTTATTTGTTGGTATTGTTGGATTAGTAGGTAACTTTTATTTTGGTCTTGCTAACATATGCTTCTTCGTGCTCAACAGGCCCTATTTCTATACTGCTATTTCGGATTTTTGTGCAAAAATATTTGGATTCGATACCTTTGGGACAGTGTATGGAGCGATAATATGTATTGCTGGCTTGTTTAATCTTTTGCAATACTCGTTGGATAGTGTTACTCATTCTGAATTTGAAATGAATCCTAGCCCTATAAACTTACTTTTAGTATGTATTACTATAATTATTGGAGGTGTCACATTCTATTATATGAAGCATCAATCCATACTATATAAAGAGAGGACCAATAGAAGTGTACCTTCTGTTTCTGTTTAACCAATTATTTAGATTAAATATAGTTATCAAGTTTTTGTAGATCGCACGTCAAGGTTGCTATCGGTACTAAATTTCCAATTTCCTATTCATACAGCTTTGTATTCAAAATTCATCTTCTGGTTGTACTCAAAGATATATATTAGCAAATACAGGAAACAGCTAAACAACAATCGATAGGTGGTAGCGGGACTTAATTTTAATTTAACTTTATTATACTAATATTTCTACAAATACATAATTCATGCCCCTTCCTTCTATAGACCACATTAAGAATAAAGCTGCCAAAGTGGTTGAGGATAATGTACCTGTACATTTATATCGTACGCCTACGAGTCCAGGCTTGTCAGATCCTGACGCAGCATCGAAAGTTAGTATTATGGATGAAGTTTTAAATAAGTCGGACCTGGAGCTTGATGGTCCCGATGGTCCGTTATATGATAAGTCTCAGGACGACCTAGTGTCTCAAATAATACATCAGTCTGACGACTATAGATTTATCACATTTAATATCCCGAAAGATATAGATAATTTGAAGCATACAGGAGATAGCTATAACAAAAGGGTAGCATTCGATACTATAAATCTACAAGTTGCAAGGGATCGGTTTGATTTCGATGATGATAATTATACTTTACCACTGGAAAATAAAAAATATTCCGGTGAATTCAATCTAAATTTGTTTGATGGTAATCGTGGAAGAGAAAGTATCAGATCTCCTTCGCCTAATGGAAGATCGCCTATCAATTCGCCATTGAGAAATAACAGTATGTCAAGTTTTTATATGGCTCCCAGACTTGACTATCCAACGAGACCTATAATTACTCATAGGGGTTGTACATACTCTAGGGTTCATAAAGACTTTAAAGACTTATATGCAATGAAACTATTTAACAAAAAAAACGGCTATTTAAAGCCTATATTACCTCTGAGGACAATACTTGTGTATATTTCGGGAAGGAAGCATACATGGGTTGCATTAGACTGGATTCTAAATAAATTCATAGAACAAGGTGATACGGTTGTTATAGTAGCAGCCATAAACCATCAATTAGGAACCACAAAAGGAAGCGGGTATCATAAAAGATTACCGCAAGGTATCTCACAAAGAGCGAGATCCAGAAATAAGCCAGAAAACATCAAAGTAATTGCGCAAAACATTATGAAATACGCAATGGAAGTTGTCAATCCTAATATTATAGCGAAGATTTCGATAGAATTAGCATTGGGGAAATCGAGAGAGGTTTTGAAAGAAATGTATAAGTTATACGAGCCGAATTTGGTTTCAACCGGTTCCAAAGCAAACTTGAAAAGATCTGCGCCTTTAAAGTCATGGACATCATCGAAAATTAGTGACCGTTTGGTTAAAAATTCTCCCTTACCAATAATAGTTGTACCTGCTATGAAAATGAATGATTTTGAAGATCAATTGGCTATTGATATCAATAACCGATATTTTGCTGGAGAGAAAATAAGTCGTCGCTCAACACTATCGAGCTCGAGAAATAGTGAGTTTTCAAATTCTGTTAATAGAAGCGGAGAGCCTCAAACTGAAGACGACGATTATAATGACGCGGGGTCTGATACATCTTCGATAGATTCAGACCTTTCAGTTGAGAGTGAATCATATTCTGCGTATGATGAAATAAGCAAGCTTTATGAGGAATATAAACAGACCGTTTCCAAGAATTTGAAGCATTCGCGAGCACAACCGATCGACGAGAATTACTTCGCTAATTGCTTAAAAGTTGTTTCAGATGAATCTACCTATTTATGTCAGGAAATTAGAAATATTAATCCTGGCTTTCAAGGCAAAGGTTCCAATTTGGCGAAGGCAATCACAGGTTCCAACTCATTTGGTGTAATTCCCTACAAAGCAAAGTCTCTCCTTATCCCGGAAGAGGAGCCCGAAGATCAGAATGCAAATCATTCACCTGGACCTCCCAGCTTATCTTACAAGGAATTAAAAAGGAATTTAAAACTAAATGCGCAAAAGAATCAACATCCGAATCCGCCGCAAATCAATATAGAACAAGCACAACCAGATGATAATTCCTCGTCGCTGTCTCATCCGCCCAAAGCTTCGGCATTAAAATTTGCTGACTTAGAAAAGCCATCAAAAGATAGAAATAGAAATACATCCAGGCCTCATAAGTTGGGGAAGTCTTTATCTCATGAAATTGATTCTAGTACAAGTAGACCTAATATTGAACAATCTAGATCACACCCAGATTTAACAGCAGTTGGACATGTCAATAGCAAAGATTATGATGACAAGGAAGGCACGAAGAAAAATAAAAGGAAAAAGAAGCGATTCTTAGGTCTTTTTTAAATAGTTTCATTTATTAACAATTCTATAGAGAAATATATTTTTAGTGTCGCAAGATGAGCGTGTAATGCCAAATAGTCCCGATACATATTTAGCCCTGAAGCCTATATTAAAAATTGTTATAAGGTAAACCCTAGCATGAAATACTAAATGAGGTTAATAATACCCATTATAATTTTCATTCTAAGCATATCGAACATAACAAATGCTGAGTTCTTTGATATCGGTTTTAATTTAGATATTGATGAGCCTATAGATCCATTTGATGGTACATATGAGTTTCTTGGAGATAAGCGACTGTTACCATCACCGCTACATAAGTCGGATAATGATAGGTCAAAAGGGTTGCAAGAGTTCACACCTATAAGTAATCTGATCGGTCAAAGTGAAACGCAATACTATTCCTTCAGCGTTAACACATCTAGTGGATTAGGTGAATACTATGAATTTTTGATTTTTCTAACCGGTAATATATGTTCACAACCTGACTATTTGACTGCCAATGATTCAAGTTTGACAGTATATTATTCATTCAATTCAAGTATGTTCAGCAATTTTGAATTAGGGGAAATGTCACACTTTGAGAATGGATACTTTCAAGCGTTGGAGCGAGTGCCTATTTCTAGCGATGACATTGATACGGTATTATACATTGCAGTGAGGGCACCAGAGAGTACAAATAAATCTGCTATATGGAAGTATGAAGTGGGGGTATCGCAAAATGATTTGGTTTTTCAGTGGGATGATAGAAGTTGGGCATCATTAGTTGATACCGACGAAGATTCTGCATTAATTGTAACAGGTAATTTGACAGGAAGTCATCTGACAAATTATTCTTCATTAAATGCTACTAAATCAAAATATTCCTTATTTATATATTCATACGACTATAGGGACTACTTCAAACAATTGAACAGTAGCTGGTGTGCGATACGGAATGGTCCAGCACTATTTTCCACGTCTTATTTCGAAAGTAGTTTCACCGATAGAGGCGGTGGACTACAACAACAATTTTATGTTCCGGGATTGAATAGTTCAACAAAATATATTGCGTACTTGATTTCAGACTTCCAGGGTACGAACTTTGGTGGTGCAGTTTATCAACCGTTCGAATTTGAGACATTAGGAACAAATGTTTGTGAATTAATATTTGATCTAGATTTCTGTGATCAAGTAGCGTATTCTGTTCCGAACTCTAATAATTTATCTAACCATGTCGTTAAAGATTTGTACGATAACAGAGCTAGATCTCTATTTTCGAACTTTTCAAAAGCACTACAGCAAATAGCGTGTAATACTACTGACAATGCAAAGTATTCGCCTATTAAAACGTGCAGTGATTGTTATGATTCATACAAAAATTGGTTATGTTCTGTTACAATCCCAAGGTGCTCAACTAGAAATATTACGGGATATAGACATAGAGACATTGGCAAATCCCGGAACGACTTTATCAATGATGTAATCCAACCAGCATCTGATTACTACGAAATATTACCTTGTGTAAACGTATGCTATGCCATGGTGAGAGATTGTCCTGCTGATTTTGGGTTCCAATGTCCAAAGAAGAATAATGATACAATAAGCTTGTCGTATTATTGGGATGATGGAGGGAAGTATGGAACTTGTAACTACGTTGGAAACACTCTTTCAGACACTAGCTATGCAATTAAAAGGTTTGTAATCAATTGGTTCCTACTAGTATCTGTAGTAGTTGTTAATATATTTATGTAAAAAGTGCATTTAATAGAAAACTAGTTATAATGATAATGTATACAGACCCGCGTAACAATTTGGCGCGTTTAAATTTATTCTTTATAACTTCTATCATTATTATATTCCTACATTTAACTGTTCAACTATTCGGAATACAGGCAGCATGGGCAATTCAAAGAATAATGAAAACTTGCCATGGTATGTTGATTTTTTATTTCAAACTAATTGATATAGGTCAATTACTAATACGGCTCAGGGTTGAGAAGTATCGTCCAGATTCTTTGGATGAGGTGTACGGGCAACAAGATATAGTTGATACTGTTCGAAAATTTGTTCACGAAGGTAAACTACCACATTTGTTGTTTTATGGTCCACCAGGTACCGGTAAGACATCTACTATTATAGCATTAGCCAAAGAAATTTACGGACCAAATTATAAAAATATGGTATTGGAATTGAATGCCTCTGATGACAGAGGTATCGATGTGGTTAGAAATCAGATCAAGAACTTTGCATCAACTATGCAAATCTTTAGCAAAGGTTTCAAATTGATTATATTAGATGAAGCAGATGCAATGACGTCTGTTGCTCAAAATTCATTGAGAAGAATTATTGAAAAATATACTAAAAATACAAGATTTTGTATACTAGCAAACTATTCCCATAAATTGAATCCTGCTTTAATCTCTAGGTGTACGAGGTTCAGATTTCAACCAATTGGAGAATCGGCTATTCAAGAAAGACTTAAGAATGTAATAATAAAGGAGAACCTAAACATTAATGAAGATGCAGAAAAGGCATTACTTAAATTATCTAATGGTGACATGAGAAGAGCACTCAATGTTCTACAAGCTGTCAAAGCTTCGTTGGATCATGATGATGATGAAATTGATCAAGACATGATATATGAATGTATTGGGGCCCCTCATCCGCAAGATATCGAAACCGCGTTAGACTCCATATTGAAAGATGACTGGACAACATCATTCTTGACTATTGATCAATACAAGAGAACAAAAGGATTGGCACTAATTGATATGATACTGGGATTTGTTGAAATTTTAAATAATTATCAATTGAAGCCCAAGACAAGAATTGAAATTTTGAAGGGGTTATCAGAAGTTGAATACGGTATCTCGAAAGGTGGTAATGAAAAAATTCAGACTAGTACAATAATAGGCGTTATTAAGGACGCATTGGAATTCGAAAAATAGTGTATGTTTATTAATTATATAACACCTAATACATTCCTTCTACTGTTAGTATGTTGATCGTATCAAATAATTGTGTGGTTATAACTAGATAATCATCTATCTTAACTATTCTTCTCATGAAACAAAAAAGTATCGAAGAGCTGGGTTTATAAAATTAGAGCCTCCAGGGCTCGTTATAATCATATTATCTCTAGTTATACTACCAAAAGGTATTCATGTACATACTATTGTTACTAGTTGTAAATAATAAATAAAATAAAATCAGTATATTATTTCACAGAAAATGAATTTATAGTGAAAAAATTTTTTCTCAAGCCTATTTTTGGCCTAATTAGGGCCGTCAAATAATAAGCCTTTAGCCCTTCTCTAATTCATTATTCAAAATGATAGTTCTTTCAAAACTTCCTTTTCTTCCAGTATGACATAGTCTACTTACCAGCCGATTAGCTGTACTTCGTGTAATGCATTCAGATTTACAAGTTCATCAAATACATCGGAGTAAAAGAAAGTTGTCGCAGCTACTCGAAGTCTATGAACTTAATCATATCTACGGTCTAAAAAATTTCAGTTCTTCTTTACACATTATTATCTCTTTGTTTATAGCATATTTATTATATGTAAAATGGGGGTTTTCTGGAGAGAGAATATTCTATGATCAGGTTCCATTCAAGACAATGTTGCGCACGCCTGCATTTCAGGAAATATATTTATATTTGTATAGTACAAATAACTAGCAAACAAGAAATTGGTTAGTTAGGTGTATTATGAGTATTACAGCAAGATCTGGTACGAATATAATGGAATACCCCAGTACATCCAGTCAGACAATACTGGACCAATTTAGTTTTCACCCAGATTCTCCAGATGAACAAATTGATGATAACAAGGTTCTACTAAGTTCGTATTTGCTTAAACGATCAGCAAAAACACACCAGTGGAAGAGGAGATGGGTGGTGTTGAGAAATTGTCAGCTAAGCTATTACAAGGATTCAAAAGAGCATAAGGCATTAAAAGTAATTGGCAAGTCCAATTTGTTATCGTTCAGTATTATTCCTGATAGTACGAAGTTCCATTTTGCCATTTATACCAATAAAAAAGTTCTACATTTCAAATCAACTGATGAGGCAACATATAATAATTGGATTGGTATATTACGACAATTTTATAATGAAAAAAGCCATACTGACAGTGAGGCTGTTAACCTAATAATGCAAGAACAAAGATCGAAACAAGCGCATAGTTTCAGGAGGTCCTCAAATGAAATGGAATATTCAGGGGATGAACCCCTTTCGTCGGGAGCATCGGATTGTACCACACCACGCACCCATGGCACACCTGTCACGAAGCCACTGTCTACGTTTGCAGACCATCCTAATGAAGATGATGAGGAAGAAATTATCCATAGAGTCACCAATTTAAATCTACACGACTCAATTCACGATGAAGGTGAATACATTCTTGAACAAGGGTATTTATATAAACTCCGTAAAAGGTACAACCAGTGGCGAAAATTCTACTTTATTCTAAGCAATAAAAGTTTGTATGTTTACAAACATCGGGATGACATAAGTCATGTTCACAAGTTCTTCCCTATCGACGATATAATAGATGTTATAGAACTCGATCCTGTGTCGAAGACGAAACAATGGTGTTTCCTTATCATTACTCCTTTGAAGCGGATGAAATTTTGTGCATCTCATGAAGACGAAATGATCAAATGGTTGTCGGTCCTAAAAACACTAATCAAAAAGCGAACAACACAAGGGTAACATACAGTAAGAAACAAACGGCTGTATCAAGAATATAGATATTTAAATTTATCATACTGCGCTCCTCTAATATTGCAGGTTTTATAGCAATGTAGTTTAGAAGCAATATGGTCTATGTATCCATATGTAGTATTTTGAATATTGCAAAAAATGCACTCACATGTAGACTGGCCAGGACCAAAAAAATTTACGATCGCCCTATAATGAGGGTACTTTACGACAATTTATTTTCTTAGCTTACAATATATATTTTATATATCGGGTGACTTAAATACAATTGAACGGAGCATTAGTGGAGATATCTACTTAAAGACGCTGTATTTCCTTTTAGTTGGCTTCAGAAAATTGTGACTTAAACATTATTAAATTCCACGATCCGGTTTGAGACTATATTTCTCAAATACCCATTTTATATGAGAAGCTCACCATGATCCAATTAATTACACCCATAGGGGAGGATAATACTATATTTGGAAACACTTGCTCAAATGACTCGAGAGCTATTTGCTTTAGTGGTCGTGAGAGAATAAGCCAGAAAGACACTGGCTACTATATATTCCTAGGCCCCTCATTCCGCATATTAATAGAAGATGAAAGAATATTTGAATCGATTAAGATGGCGTTACATCATCTACATCTATACCCATTTGCCTCTGGATTAGAAAGCGTTCCACAACAATTTTTGGATCTAATTAGGAACCCTTTTCAATTTAATAAGGATGATCTAAACACCTATCACCCATTAATATTCTATCTCACTGGTATTTTGAACATTAGTATGACAACGGTCACTACGGAATTGGCTGTAATATCACCGATTAGTGTAATCCTTAAAAGCCTTAATGAATTGTCAATATTAGGTGACAATTCTTTTAATACTCATAAGCAAAATATATTACTGAAATACAGCGTGTTTCAAGGATTGGATACAACGTTATTATTATCTGCGTTATATGATTTAGTGGAAGGCAATGAGGGTTTCTTCTTACTTACTCTGATTATTTTAACAATTGATTCAATATTTCCGAAGCAATTAGATGGTTCTATACCGACAAAGGAACTAAACAATAATCTTGCCCAAGTTGAAAATGCATTGGATATCCTCAAAAACCTTGAAAAAATTGAAAAACAAAAAGAGATTGATTTGTTGTTTGCAAAGCTTGATAATTTAAATTTGGGCCATTACAACTCTAACCTGCTAGGGAAAGAAAACGCTAATATGAGCGTTGTAACGCAAAACACACCATTTATATTTGATATGCACCACAGCTTAAGTCCAAAGCATGCTTCAGTTGACTTTCTTAGGGATCCATTATATCTACAGCAAACAAATCAAAATAGCATAAATGCTCTTGATATGAATAAAGAGATCAAGTCTATAGCTAGCAGCAAATTGTGGAATCCTATTCAGTCATCAAGAACGAACTCGTACCCTTGGAATGTGAAATATACTGATAAGAGCATTTCCCCTAAATCTGAGACACTCTGGTCATTGGATGCGATAAACAAAAATACTATAAATATTGAAGAAGATACACCGGATTATATCTCTCTAAGTTGCAAAGATTCAATTATTTATGGAATTACTAATGAAACTCCTTATAACGATTTCGTCTCTGAAGCTGCCGCTATCGATAATAAATTGTTGCAGGAGACAAATTCTAAAAATAATATTACTATTGCCAATAATGTTTATTCTGTTTCCTCTAATCCTAGATATGTCAGAGACAAGTATCATAATAAAAATACTAAGGACTCTCTTCTAGACTCTTCTGAAGGAAATACATGTCAATCTAATTCAAATGAAGGTCATCAAAAACGAGAAACTACGAAAAGAACTAACAATAAGGCCGTAAACGAAAATACATCCATTACAAGCTCGCTGACCGAGAAATCCGAATCTAACAAATCTCATGACAGTGATGATGACGATGATGACGATGATAAAAAGGATCGCTCCAATAAGTTTAAAAATAATGATAATTCTGCCTCGGATCCTGATTCCGACTCGGATACCGATTCTAATTCTGAATCTGAAGCTGAAGCAGAATCTTTATTCGATTCAGAATCTAACTCTGGAAGTGGGTTGCGTAAAATCAAAGATGATAAAGAAGAACAAGATGTTATTGAAATGTTGACAGATTTATTTCCTATTTATCCTCGAAGTGAATTAGTTGCGAGGGTCAAATCTACAAGTGATGTTGAGAACTTAATCGATGTTTTGTTTTCAGAGCAAGAAGATCAAAGTAAGGCTTCCGTGAAAGAGACTAATGCTAAAAATTATTCAAGCGATGTTCGTACATTAAAGGAAATATTCCCTGAATATAATTTTGAAGTACTACAGCAAATTTTAAATAGAAATGATGGAAACATTGCACTCGCTTCTGCAGTCATTTTACAGGGCGATTCCGAAGAATTAACTTCCCTTGAAGATAAGACGAGTAAGATGACAATGAATAATCATAATAATATGACACAACTGCAGTCTTCATGGATTGCATTACAAACAGAAGCAAACAGGCTTGAAGACATTTTAAATATCCCGTCTCAACAGTTACTAAGTTATTTACATAAACATGAAGGTAAATTTCACGAGACTCTCGTTGCTATTATAAATGATAACTCTGTAGGGAGACTGAATGCATCATCAGCGTCGTCGTCGAGTAGCAGGTCGTCACTAGCGTCCTTTTCTCGACACGTACCAAGAGGGGGTCGAGTACAGGGTTCGTCATCGAAGCCAACGATTTCTGTTCCAAGTATACGGTATGGGAGTGTACCACCAGAAGATTCCTATAGATATGACGAAAATAGTCTTGAGGCCAAAGAAATAAAAGCAATCTACGTTGGAAATCCCGAATTCAAATCCATAAACGAACAATTTTTCGAAAAATTATTAGTCTTCTTCCGTGGAGACGTTGCAAAGGTGATCGAAGTTGCAGCATTGTTGGTACAAGACAAAGCGGGTCACGTCACTTTCAGACAGAAACCGCCAGCGATGAGTTTTCCTAGCATTTCGCAAGCTGGTACTGGAAAGAAAAAAAAACCATTTCCTCTAATCGAACCCTACAAGCATTCTAATTTAATTTCTACATCCCCAACTGCGCACGTCTCTCTGTCTGGCTCGACCTCGGCTTCTTCGTTTATCGCTACTTCCTCTCACTCCCAGACTCCTACCGATGAAATTTCCCTTATGAAAGAGAAATTGAAGTCTGCGGCGAAAAATAATACCCTAGACTTGCATAATCTTACAGTGCCGACCGCACTTGAGGCCACAGGTGAGGCTCTACGTGATTGGTGGAAAGACGAATTAGACCAAAGACTTGTGGATGGTAATCTCACTAAATTTGGTTCGAGGGTTCAATTTGTGAGTCCACTCAATTTGGTTACAGGTCGCGGAATTCATTCTCAAGGAGGGAAAGCCAAGATTAGAATTGCTGTCAAAAACTACTTAACAAGAAATAATTATGTCTTTGAAGAGTATTCTGGGCGATTTGAAATTGAAGGTAAACGATAGGAATGCAAACAATAGAGTGTGCTTTAACGGGCTCGATTAGGTAATGTACGAGGCCGGTACGCGTAGTTTCAAAAACCGGGTAATTTCAGTTGTATGTAAAATTTAATTAAAAGCTGGTGATATTAACTTGGACGATAATTTTACGAATAGTTCATTTTTCTAGACATTGTATAACCTTAGGACTTAAATAGGTCAAATATTTGAAATAACAAAACATTCGGACATAGGAATTGATTATAGCTTAATCGTCGGAGATTTTTAAGAATTGGAAGCATTTATCCCCTGTGTCACAAACAAACAATATATACGAAGTATCCAATAAAAACTACTGAAATTATAGAATGTATAAGGCCAAGGATACCGACTATAAATTGGGGTCGCCTATACACGAAAAGATACCTAGTTTTGAAATTGGTTCTGATAAACGTTTAGACATAGAAGACAACAACGAAGAAGAAGTAAGCGCTAGAGAGGAACACGATGACGATGAGGACTACGAGTACAAACGAATTATCGAACAAGAATTTGAAAACGACCGTGAGTTAGATGATGAGCATGAATTTGAAATTGGCGTAGTGTACAATGAGCAGGACTGCGAAGCAGATACTAGCAAGTCTATTGGGTCATTGCCTCGCATGCCTGGCACGTACGATTTTTCTGGTTTGAAGAGTAATGATAATCAATATAATGAGTTAACTGAGACTTTGAACCAAGACGACGGTAATCAACAGAATGATATTGCTGTGGGAAAGTCAGGCGATGAAGCCTCTCTCACGTATAAGTCAACGTTAGACCCAGGAAAGCCACTGCAAAACCCTCCGCCATCCAATTTGAATATTGATTCGATATTGAAATCTCAATTGGAGAACAATAAAAGCGAAGGAAGCATTGGACAAAGAATAGAGAGTATATCGCGAAAGACCACCAATTCCTCGGGTGCTCCAAACATCTTGAAAGATAATACTTTGGATAAAATACCAACACATGACGATGAAAACATCGATGACAACAACGTAGATAATAGAGCTGGTGATCCAAAAATACGTGGCGGACTAAATGCATCGAACGATGTATCAATAGACGATAACATTGCAGATATTAGTCAATCAACTATACAAACGTCTACCGATGCTGAAGAGAGTATAAATAAAGGAAATGGTGATATAACTCAAGGATTATCTAATGTCGACATTAATGATACGCTAGCAAATGAATCGAGACAAAGAAATATCTCGTCTGGTTCCGTAGTTCGGAATCCTCCATCGGGATCCCAATCAAATCAATCTAATCAGTCATACCATCAGACACGAGCTATAACTCCTGTTATGAATCAAATGAATAAGTTTCAAAGTTCAAATTCTGAAGCGGCTTCACCAAGAGAGCATCTTGGCATGGGTATAAATAATAGTGCACCCTCAACGGGGGGCAATTCAAATACCTCCTCCCCTATGAATGGAAGTTATCCAAACTCCATCGCTAAAAGTAGAAGGAGTGGTAATAGGGTCAAGGGAGTATTTTCGAACATGTTTAGTAAGAACAAGAGCAGTACCAGCGTGGCTTCATCGCCAGAAACTCATGCGATAAATATGAAGATTAGTACTCCATTCAATGCTAAACATGTGGCACATGTCGGAGTTGATGATAATGGGTCATATACTGGATTACCTATTGAATGGGAAAGATTGTTATCAGCCAGCGGAATTTCTAAGAAGGAACAGCAACAACACCCTCAAGCAGTCATGGATATAGTCGCATTTTATCAAGATACAAATGATGATAATCCTGATGAGAATGCATTCAAAAAGTTTCACTACGATAATGATTCATCTCATTCGTCGATTTATAATGCTACTCCACCTTCAACCCCTGGTATCCCATCCACTTACAGTGCTACTCCTCTCCAGTCGGAGAAACAACTTCAAAGACAGCAATCACAAAAGTCACAATCATCACATTCAGTACAGGTACAAGCAACACCTAAAACCCCAAATAATAATTACGAAAATCAATTTATTCCTAGTAGACCAGCTCCAAAACCACCTTCTTCTAGCACACCTTCAACAAAAACAATCAAACCACCACCAGTACCTCCATCACCAAGTACAAATACCAATATGTCCCCTGCTCTGAAGAAGAATTCATTCATGGGTAGATCCTTTTCCTCAAAATCTATTAAAGCATTGAGAAATAATAATAGAAAGATTTCGGAGCCTGCTAAAGCCCCACAATCGAAGATTTCCGATAACACTTCCGAAATGGGCATTCCAAAATCTAAATCTCACAGTAATTCTCTCTCGACTCAGAGTGAAGTTGAACCAACTAAAGGTTCAACTACCGCCCCGGTTTCGTCTACTGCTAAATTCAATTCCACAACTATCAGTAATACTAATGGCCATAATATAATCGAAGAAGAGAAAAATAATAGTTCATCATTGAATAACCCTAAACAACGAGAACAGAAGCCTGATACTACTTTAGAAAAAAGAATCACGCCTCCATCTCCATCTCAGTCTCGCGTAAGTGAAGAAGAGTCAACAAAGAAGGAGACTTCAGAAAATTATAATAATAAAGAAAACGATGTACCAAAGAAGAGTTCTCAACAACCTGTCAGAGACGCTAAGCAAGCGGCATTATTGGCTCAAAAGAAGAGAGAAGATAAGAAGCGTAAGAACCAACAGATTATTTCTAAATTGCAACATATTTGTAGTGAAGGTGATCCTAATGAACTTTACAAGGATTTAATTAAGATTGGACAAGGTGCATCTGGTGGTGTTTACATAGCCCACGATGTAAATCATAGATCGCAGACTGTTGCCATTAAACAAATGAACTTAGAACAACAGCCTAAGAAAGAATTAATTATCAATGAAATATTGGTGATGAAAGGTAGTAAGCATGAGAACATTGTTAACTTCATAGACTCATATTTATTAAGAGGAGATTTGTGGGTTGTCATGGAATATATGGAAGGTGGCTCATTGACGGAAATTGTTACCCATAGTGTTATGACTGAAGGGCAAATTGGCGCAGTCTGTAGAGAAACATTGAAAGGGTTAAGGTTCTTGCATTCAAAGGGTGTTATTCATAGAGATATCAAATCCGATAATATTTTGTTAAACATTGATGGTAATATCAAAATGACCGATTTTGGCTTCTGTGCACAAATTAATGAAATCAACTTAAAGAGAACTACGATGGTAGGAACTCCATATTGGATGGCTCCTGAAGTTGTCTCGAGAAAGGAATATGGTCCAAAAGTTGACGTGTGGTCTCTAGGAATCATGATTATTGAAATGATCGAAGGTGAACCTCCGTACTTAAATGAGACCCCATTGAGAGCCCTTTACTTGATTGCAACTAATGGTACGCCTAAACTTAAGGAACCAGAAGCATTGAGTTACGACATCAGAAAATTCTTAAGCTGGTGTTTACAAGTGGACTTCAATAAGAGAGGAAACGCCGACCAGCTTTTGAACGACAAGTTCATTCTTGAAGCCGATGACGTAGAATCGTTGTCGCCGCTCGTTAAGATCGCTGCTATGAAAAAGGCTTCTGAACACGACGAGTGATTGAGCTATATACCTGTATAATTACTTTTGATATTATATCAACACGAATTAACCCGCACCGTAAGCCTTCGCATATTTTCGAGAACCTTCTTTTGCACCTTTTGGTGCTCATTCTACTCGTTTCTATACATATATTTATATTATTTGTCTTTCATGATATCTCGCTACCATTGTCAAGTCATATCTAACATCCTTGCGGCAAAAAGTCCGAGTGGATCTAATTAATTCTCACACTCACCCGACTGAACAATAGAACTTTACGACCAAATCTCTGCACCGGTGAAATATTGCCGCCCTCAATTTCATTAGTATGGAAAATACATACACGAATTTGCCTATCACGTAACTTTTTCTCGATTTATGCCATGTTAATGTGTCTCATTCGTCACTACTAATTGATTGCGGTTTCTACTTACCCATGCACCGACGTAATTTTTTTGCTTCTATCTTTCCCAGAATCACTTCCGTCTATATTTACTACTTCCGGATTAATTTAGTATCTGCTTGTTACTATTAGACCCCGAATTTTTACTAGCTATTCAAGTATAATGTTGACCCTTCGAGAATCACCCAGGCACCTTTTTGCCTGTAAATAGCAATTATAGTGCAGCCCCATACAGGGCTGAGTAACCAACTTTTCCCACTCGTTCTTCCCCCCCTTTCGATGATATCATACTAAATTACCCTATATAAGTCAGGTAAATCTCCCAATTTTATTAAAAAGTAATTACTTCTAGAAGAAATTAATTTAATATCATTTTAACTACGAGAATATTTATATATTTTTACGAATATTCTTACTGATATACTTCCAACTATAGTATTAATAATATATTTTGATAATATATTGATTATAGTCAGACGCTAATTATTGCTACGTGTTTACAAGGGAGCCCTTAATAATAGATATAATTATAAAGAATACTACAAATATGTCATCGTCACCAAAAGCATCAGATGCTGGCGCTGCTGCAGCCAAAGCAGACAAGCCGGAATTCCAGTCTTATTTGAACAACGACGGGATTGACGAATTAACACCTGCAGAAAGAAAGCACAGGGTATCGTCTTTATCGTTAACTGATTTGAACAGTTGGCAAAATGGTTTGACGAAGTTATCGTCATCGTCTTCTTTGAACAAATCATCATCTCAGAATTTAAAGAAGGTGGATTCGTTGGCAAAGATGTCAAGAAATTCATCGATCATCAAGAGAAAGAAGAAGAGTGTTATTGATCACGCCAGAGTTGCATCATACGCTTTTTGCTTCGATATTGATGGTGTGATATTGAGGGGTCCAGATACGATTCCAGAGGCTGTGGAAGCCATGAGGTTGTTGAACGGTCACAACAAATACAATATCACCGTGCCTTCGATTTTCGTGACGAATGGTGGGGGTAAGCCAGAACATGTCAGATCGGAAGACTTATCCAAGAAGTTGAACTGTACTATAACTCCAGAACAAATCATTCAGGGGCACACTCCGATGAAGGATTTAGTTGGTGTATACGAAAATGTGTTAGTTGTTGGTGGTTTAGGAAACGTTTGTCGTAACGTGGCTAAATCTTACGGATTCAAAAATGTTTACACCCCATTCGATGTCTTGAAGTGGAATCCAGCTGTTTCACCATACCATGATTTGACCGAAGAGGAATTGAAATGCTGTAGAGAAGTTGACTTCTCTAAGGTTAATATCGATGCCATCATGGTGTTCGCTGACTCGAGAAATTGGGCTGCAGATCAACAGATCATTTTAGAATTGTTATTGTCTAAGGATGGTGTAATGGGTACCCAATCGAAGACTTTTGATGAGGGTCCTCAAATCTACTTTGCCCACTCTGATTTCATCTGGGCTACTAATTACAAATTGTCTAGATATGGTATGGGTGCTTTACAAGTTTCCATAGCTGCTTTATACAAAGAACATACTGGTAAAGAATTAAAAGTCAACAGATTTGGTAAACCGCAAAAGGGTACCTTCAAGTTTGCTAACAAAGTTTTGGGTAACTGGAGACAAGGTGTTTTGGATGAACATTTGAAGAAATTATCAATCAATGATCCTAATGCGGATGAGGCTGATATTTTGATCAATGATGAAGGTGAAGAAATTATCAACCAAACAAAATTAGAATCTTTCGAAGGTCTTGGTGATTCTGATGATGAGGAAGATTCTTACAAGGAACCTTTGGCTGTTGTTGGTAAACAAGATAAAATCACTTTAGAGTTACCACCAGCATCAACGGTCTACTTTGTTGGTGATACACCAGAATCAGATATCAGATTTGCAAATTCTCACGATGTGTCGTGGTTCTCGATTTTGGTTAAGACCGGTGTTTACCAAGAAGGTACCGTTCCAAAGTACAAGCCAAAACATTTGTGTGAAAATGTGCTTGAAGCTGTTCAATTTGCTATCGAGAGAGAACATGCATTGGAATTGCAAGAATGGAATGAAACCGCAGATGATGAAGACGATAAGGGCTCTAGAGTCAACTTTGCCGATTTTATGATGACTCCTAGTGAAAAGGAAGAAAAGTCTAAGGCAAATAATGTTGGCGACCATGAAGCTGTTGAAGTTCCAGTCGTATTAAATGAGCAAATTGAAAAGATAAAGGATGTTCAAGTCTAGTATATAAGTTTTTAAGCCTCGTTTACAATAAATGATGTATTGCTGTATATATGTTATAAACATTTAATATTAAACTGCTAACATATGAATAAGAATTCGGATGTATGACACCGTATTACGGAGCTCGCCTCGTAATTGATATCCAACATATGCCTAAATTTTGGGATAACAACGTTGTCACTGCCAGCAGCATAATACATCTCTTACAAAAAATGACCGGTAATGTTTATAATCAATCATTATCTTATCCATTTTCCTAAAATCACAAATCGGTCCAATTAGTATATCAAGTAAAAGACTATTCTCGTACTTCTTAGTAGATAAAAAGGCTTTATTTTTGTAGCCTAAAAATTCGTAAATCAGAGTCGGGGTCATAGCATTTAAAGATAATCCAAGAGTAAATAATCAACGACGTTTTCAATCATCTGATGCTGTTTAAGTCGTTTAAAGTCTGATCTAGTCTGATCTAGTCTGATCCAGTAAATTACAAATTCCGTTACTAGAGAGAGCACACTGATTATTTTTACGCGGTCTTTATTTTGAAAACAAACATTTAAATAATTTGATAAGATCAATATAAATATATGTACATACACCTATTCATTATGGATAAAGAAACAACTTATTTCAAAAAACAGCTTGATGAACTAGATAATGACGTATCTATTCTTTCATCACAGAGAGATTTTCAGTCACATATGAACAAAATCAATGAAACTGTTGAAAATCCTCTTTTAATCAAGGATGAGATTAACTTTCAAAAAGAGAACTTCTCGAAGTTAAAGTTCCAGTACCTCGAACAAGAGACGAAGGAAAAGTTTCTAAGATCATTATTTGATAATCCACCTAAATCTATTCAACAGGAAGATATTAACAAGTTGCAAGAAGAAAATGTTCATTCGAAACAAGAACTCAAGGCATTAAAAGAATCAATGAATTACAAGATGAACGATATACATGAAATTTCTAGAGAAACTGTTGAATTAAATGAAGAGTATCAGCATAAGTATAATGAAACGAGTAAGATGCTAGATGAAGTTCAAAGGATGGAAGAAAAAATAAATTCAATCATTGATAACCAACAGGATGAAACCAAAGAAATTATTAAAAGTTTGATTGATCTTTCGTCGGGTATGAAAGAGAAAGATCTCACAAAGATAATGACAAGAGCCAATAATCAGTCGTTACAAGATTATACGACAGCTCCTCAATCCAGTAATGAGTTGCATTTGAAAAGCCAATTAAATGAAAACCAACAGCAGCATCTCAAAAAGTTGCAAGAAAAATTAACGGCATTGAAATTCAAATTGCTGAATGCTGAAGATAATAAGGAACCAAATCACAATCAGTTTTACGCTCAGTGGGTCAAGGAAATGAATGAAATACTAATTAGTCTAAATGACCTATCTTATATAAAGTTCGAATTTGTTGATAACGCTAATCTTAAGCTAATCGTCAATAATCATAGTGTTCTCTTGAATAAGAGCTTTGATATTTTGAATACAAATGAACTAAGCCAGTTTCAATATCTCATAAATAATATTAATTCCAAGGAAAACAAAATGAAGAATTTTTTGTTATTGGTGAATGGTTTATTAGAAATGCCTTGATACGTGTTTAATATGTTTAGTGGGTTTAGTGGGATTAGTGAGTTTAAACTCCAGTGAAAAACTAGGATATAAATAGAACAAAGTTCCAGAAAGTCAATAACGAAGTTGATTACGAACTTATGGGATATAATGCAAGATACAAGCTTAACAAAAGCTCTATGTGCTAACTTCTAGTATGGTAAAGCCATAATCCATTGCCATCGATATAGTCTACCACTGTCAAACTGTCCCCATGTTTGATTATGTAATCTTATATACCTCGGTCAGATTTGGATATATGTAGACCAGAACGAATTGTAGATTAATGATTAGCACAATTAAATATTGACATGGTTGAAAACACTACTACATCAACAGTTAAGTCTGATAAGAAGGAAATAATAGATAATATTCTCAGGTTAGCTCAACAAGAACAAAAAAGAGGTAATAAATCTATTACACAGGAGAAACTAAACAATTTATCAAATTACGTTTCCTCGTACCAACTGAAACAAGAGAGTCAAAGTAAAGGAAATTACGACAAATACAAGAAAGAATATCCAGCACCAATTGTGAAACCACTATACTCTCCATTATTTAGTAAATTTAGTGTCAAATCCGCAAAACCAGTCATAGAAAAAACCCCCAATCGTAAATTACCTTTTCAGTATACTTTTAAGAACATTGAAAAAGTATTAATCGAAATCCTTGAAACTCTAGCTAATATTCTTGATAATTTGCATTTGTTCTCGAGGTTTCCGATGTTCCCTGCTAGGCTAGTTGATTTACT